GGAGAATCTGCTAATTTACATGGTGATTTTTTTTTTTTTTTGGTTCATGATGGAAGATAATTCACACTTCTAAAACCTCAAGACTTTCCATTTTATTTTTTTTATTTTTTTAAAAGATTTCATTTATTTATTTGACAGACAGAGATCACAAGTAGGCAGAGAAGCAGGCAGAGAGAGAGAGGGAAGCAGGCTCCCTGCTGAGCAGAGAGCCCAACTCGGGGCCTGATCCCAGGACCCTAGGATCATGACCTGAGCCGAAGGCAGAGGCTTAACCCACTGAGCCACCCAGGCGCCCCAAGACTTTCCATTTTAAAGAACCAAAAGCAAACTCAGGACACCTCGCTGACCTTTCCCCACACCTAAACAAATTGATTCTCTTTTCATCAAAAACTCTGAGAGTTGTAGCAGCAGAAGGTTTTAATAGCAATGCAAGTTTGCAAACTGGATTTCATTTTTTTTTCTCTTGAACTCAAAGTGCAGGATGCAGAGTTCTCCTCATTTTCATGAATGCTGCTCTTGTCACTAATCCTTCATTTTGTTTGGCAAAGGCAGGTTTTGAATTAAGTCTCTTCTGGTATACAGAAACATAATAAAACGAGACAGGTATTACAAAGAAAGCACCTGCATGAAATCATGATACTCAACTGGTAAGTCTGACTGGGTGAATAGCGATTTAGGCAACGAAGGCCCTGAATAACACAAAGCTCTGTTTTTAGAGTCCCTGGTTGAATGTTTAATTAGATCAGGAATTGTCTATCCACATCTGGTTGTTCATCAAAGTGAAACCTACCGTTTGAGTGCCCAGTTCTCCTGTGAAGTGTTTTTACCATGGGAGCAAAAGCTCCAGCTTAAAAGATAACAGTCATCAGAACTATCCAGAACAAGAAAAGAACCATCTGACACATTTACTAGATTTCCTTCTGCCTCCCAGCATGTGACTGGTTTCCAGTATCATCTTTATAAGGCTTGTCACAACCATAAGACCACTACTTTTCATTGAGTCATAAACTCTTGCAACCCCAGGAGCAGAGTCAGGATCAAAATTCAAATGATAGCACATAATTTGATTTTATTTTTTAAGGATTTAAAAAAAAATTATTTGAGAGAGAGAGAGAGGGAGAGCGCACTGGTGGGGGGAGCAGCAGAGGGAGAAGCAGAAGCAGACTTCCCACTGAGTAGGGACCCCCTCCCCCTGCTGACATGGGTCTGGAACCCAGGACCCTGGGATCATGACCCGAGCTGAAGGCAGATTCTTAACTGACTGAGCCCCCCAGGCATCCCGATAGCCCATAATTTTAGACACAAGGACATCTGTGCCCGTGAGTCCACTGAAGTTCCTTTGGATTTTATTATTCTGCCCTGGAGTCAGCAATGGTGAGCGTGGGGGGACATCATCATGTCTTGTTCTTGGACTCTGCAATGTGATGAATATGGTGTCAACAAGCCATTCACAGACTGATCCACAAAGATCCCTGGGGGCAAGGACCGTAGGGCCCTGGTCTACCTGACTTCCAATTTCAGAGAAAGCTTCCCCCCGTCCCTCCCCCACACACTTTAGAAGGCACTGCTGAAACTTCCATTGGAAGGATCCAGAATACCAAATGCAGTACTGAGGTGTATGTCCACTACTACAGACACGTGTTCATTGAGGTGACGTTGCAAGTCTCCATTCTGGGATTCCGAGCTCCTTTATGAATTATCTTGCTCTTGGCACACAGTGCCGGGCTGAAGACTGAAAATCTTTTCAAACATCCTTCCGTGGGGCACCTGAGTGGCTCAGTGGGTTAAGCCTCTGCCTTCGGTTCAGGTCATGATCCCAGGGTCCTGGGATCGAGCCCGCATCGGGCTCTCTGCTCAGCAGGGAGACTGCTTCCTCCTCTCTCTCTGCCTGACTCTGCCTACTTGTGATCTCTCTGTCTGTCAAATAAATAAATAAAATCTTTAAACAACAACAACAACAAAAAACATCCTTCCGTGCTGGACTTGGATTGGAGGAAGGAACCAAAGCCGTGACTCTCGCCTTCTCCATTTTGATACACCTCTCTTCAGCATTCGTGGGTCCAGAGGCCACAGGGTAGTCATGATTGCTAGGGGAAGTGGACCTCATTGGTCTCTGAGCTCTCACATCTTTCAAGACTCTAGTTGCTGAGGAGAGGAAAAGGTATCTTCATCTGGCGGAGCTCCCAGAGGGTGTGCTCCCCTTGTCTTTCTGCTTTTGTTCTGCAGAAAGTAGCTTTTTTCATGTGCCCATTAAGCTTTGACTCTTTGATCTATTTTTTCCACCTTTTTCATCCGCACGGTTGATAGCACAGCCGGTCATATCTCTCCCTCAGCAGCTACCAAACAAGGAATCGTGGTTTCCAAACACTGGCTTAGGGATGCTTACGGTCCTACCATGAAGTCAGAGGCTCGTTTACTTTTATTCAGGTTCAAAGATTTCTGGAAGGTTTTAAGACTACTTTTCTTCGTGATGACGCGTTCTCTAATCCCCGGAGGGCTCAGTCCCTCTCTGGAATGTTATTCCCGAACAGCCGGAGAACCCTGCGGTGCCTCATCCATCCACGTGTGTTTCTCCAGCTTCGTTTAACCCTTGGAGCCATTTTCCAGCGGCAGCAGCGCGGCGGGTGGCGGCGGCGGCGGCCAGAGCGTGACTCCCGCTCCCTCTGCCAAAGCCGGCGCGAGGGCTGCGAAATGCGTGCGGCTGGAAGCCGCGAAACTGGTGGCAATTCGCTGCACGGTAACAAAAACCGAATACGCCATTAGCGATGTTAGCATGCAGGCAAAGTTTGGGATTCGGGTTGAAAACGGGGCTGATTTATTTCAGACGATTCTGAATTTAGACTCGCTGCCCCTGAAAGGGAGGGAAAAAATAGCCAGAAATCAGGGTGAACGAGAATACACAAAAGCACCATCTTCCATGCCCAGGTCAGGCCTCCAGCCTGAAGAGACCGTTCTCTCTCCAGATAGTTACAGACCTTCACGTATTCTAGCACCTAACTAATACTCTTGTTTTATGCTCCAGTGGCTTTTTGTGTCTGCCTAACTGGGCTTCAAGTTCCCTGGGGTCGAAGATCTCCTGCCGATTTCCGTGTCCCCCACCGTGTCTTGCACAAAGGGATGTGCTAGGAAATGTTTACTTGACTGGCCAAAGACGGTGTGTTTGTCCCATTAGCGAGTCCTTCAGACGAAACCTTCCAGGTGCTATGCCCGGAAGGTACCCGGAGTGGGTTCTTGAGACTTCAGCTGGGATTTTTCCGGATTGAAGCACTGTGAGCCTCACCATCCAGCCTCTCACAGCAGCAAAATGTATCATAATATCCTCTGACTCTTCTCTCTCGGGATAAGGAAACTTAGACCACAAGTAGGGATAAGCCCAATAGCCTGCCTCACAGGGAACATGACCTAACATTGAATAACAAAAAGAGTTTTACTTAATTAGCTAGCACCCGCTAATCAGCGAGGCCTAAACATCTGTCAGTGGAATCTGAGAAGTCTGTTCTAAAAGCTGAAAAGCTGAGTTTATTTGCCACAGATGGGGCACCTGTAATGAGAACGGGTAGAAAACGTTTTTGCAGTTAAACCAATCTGAGAGAAGAGGTTGGTACCTAATTTCCAGACAGAGTCTGTGGATTGAACTTGGTCTTTTTCATTGCATGTGACTATTAATCATCAGATGTGATGGAAGAAATTATCAGCAAGAATTTTCTCTGCATTCATATCCATAATTAACAGTTTGTGAACTGTGCTGAAGAAATCAAAGCAGAACTTGAGGGCTTAGGGTTTTTTGTTGTTGTTGTTGTTGTTAATGTAGTCAAATGACAAGGCAGTAGAAACGTTTTGAAGAAATTCACTGACCTGTTTTCTTAGATCAAGGATGACTTTTTGAAATAAAGCTCTGAGAGATCCAACTTGTTGCCTCCATGGGCTTATAAAAATTTCTTGCTGATGTGACAAGGTAACTCAAATCCTTTCAACAAGGAGATATAAATTAATACCAATGTTACAAAATATTGGAACAATGGACTTGCAACTACAGGACGATCATAAGGGTTGATTTGTTCAGGGAAGTGGAAGCAATTCAGACTCAATCTGGATGTGTGGTTTTAAGTAGATGGCAAGTGAATTCATCTGTCATTGTTGAGCTGCCTTGAGCTAAATGTAATCATCGATTGTTAGGATCTGCAAAGCTATCTGGGGGAAGTGAAGTTACAATTCAGAAGAGAGTCAAGAATTTTGACGAATATGAATCATCTTTAACATTTTTATGGTTGCCTTTGGAATGCAAACTCTCAGCATGTCCCCGAGTTATGAAGCATTTGCCCGAAGACCGTGGGCAGAACTACGCTGCACACCCAAACGATTTTGAAATTTCGAACTGTATGCCTACGATCTGAAATGTTCAGGTTCATTCGGCCCGGTGAGAGTATCAATGTCTTTCATCAAAAGTGCTGAGATCAGTGGGTGGAATCAGAATTGAGACTCGTTCCAATTATAACCTTCTCCGCCATCGTTTTGAACAACAGCTCAGTCTTTGAAATAGAAACCTTTAAATTCACTTGCTCAGATTGATCCATCAACCTTGTAACTATCAATTTTTACACGAATAAAGTTGATGGAATTTTTTAGACGCCTCTGGCATTGGTACCAAAAACCTCCACTACCGGCTAGGTAACAAATCGCACAACTCCGACAAAAATGTACCCGTCGTGTAGACGGATTTCTTTTTAACCCTCCGCTTCGCTATTGAAAAACTTGGCCGCTCCTGCCCCAGCCGGTGCCCTAAGCGCGAGTAGGGTTGACAGGGTTGCTCGCATGCGCTCTCGACACAATCGTGTTTGTCGCAATGGGCCCTGGGCGGAAGGTTACAGAGGAGCCAGCGACTTTGATCATAGTCATTTTGTCGGTAGCGCTGGTTACCGCGCTACTTCCGCGCTGGTACTTGATTGTAACAGAAAGTAGTTCCGGCCCGTGTTGTTTCGGCCGAGGAGCCGTCGCCGCCATTTCAAGACCGTGAGAGGTAGATGGCCAACCAGAGTTCCTAAGGTTCGAAGCCTGTAACTGCTGCCGCCGCTTAAGCCTGCCAAAACACTGGTACGGCTGCCGCACTCTTCTTACTACCTCTAGAAACATTCTTGCCAGTAGTGGCGGCAGCGGGTCAATTACCCTCCTCTCGTTCTCCTTCAAGAAGCTCCAGATGGCGTCTTCCGTGGGCAACGTGGCCGACAGCACAGGTACCGGTGTCCGTTCTACCTTGGCAGACGCCCTGTCGGGGTCTCGCGCCGTCCTCGACCTCTCATCACTCCCTTCCTTACCCCTAGCCATCCCCATTACATCAGTGGCATTGCTGAGCTTTTCGTCGTCTACCGGCATCTGTTCGGGTTTTCCGCTGTCCGCTCCTCGAACATTTCCTCTTTTCTTGCTTGCTTTCTGCTTCCATTTTTTTGCTTTTTTAACCCCATCAATTTTCTAGCTGCCGACTCTCTCGGGACGCCTCTACCACACGTGCGCGCTTAGAACGTCTCAGAATGGACTGCATTGGAATCCCTGCCCTTTCACTCTCCTTCGCAGTCGTTTTCTCCCCGAATTCAGCCCACCGCCCCCTTTTCTCCCCCCTCCAGCCCTTTCCCCTTAGCCAGATTTGGTTCTTCTCTGTCAATCTAGGGTGGGGGTGCCATTCCAATGTAATCATGTCCTCGCTTTGCATCACCCGAGGACAAGCAGAAGCTCCTTGGTGTGCTGTAAGAAACCTCGAGAAGAGGGGCTACTGAGCAGCACCCCGCTGGGCAGCGCCTTTTTGGTGGTGTTTCGGTCGAGCGGCCCCGGTTTAGATTGGAAATTTCCAGGGGTTCCTGTTGCCATCGCCCAATTCCACCCGCTGCCCCCAGCCTGGATTTCCGATCCCGTCTTCCCTCCCCTCCCGCGGGGAACCACACCCTTCCCTTCGCGAGGTTGCCAGCCCTGCAGTCCACTTCCTACCCTCGGGGAGAAACCACCTTGGTGCGGGTGCTTTGGCGTTGACCACCCTGCCCGCCGAATTCCTGCTTTGTGTTACTTTCTCCCTGTATTCCTCCGCCGCCGCCTCTGGGTCTTCCATCCCCATTCTTTAGCTTAGTGTCTCTTTATTCATAGGGTGTGTATTTTTTTAAGTTTTCATCCTTGCTTGAAGAGTTTGTAAAGCAACTGGAGTGTAGCTGCACAAGTTCAAGGCGGTTGCCCTTTTAGACAATTCAGTCGAGAGCATTCGGTACTAAAAATAAGAGGACCAAATTATAGGAGTGTCCTTCAGCTGCCTTTCCATATTGAGGCTATTTGGGGCGGAAGGGGGGGAAACTGAGCTGCGGTTCTAAGGTTTCCCACAAGGTTATTTTGTTGTTGTTTCTCAGTTGAGATGTGTCAAGGGTTTTATTATTTTTGGACATTGTGCAGGAAGTAATAGGAGAATCCTCCGTTGATCTTAATCCGTGAGATTGTGGGTAGTGGGATCTAGTGATCAGTGTTCCCCTTCCTTCCAGGGATTTTAAAAGATGTAAGAGTCTGTATGAGCTTGCCCTTTTCTGTGTTACTTTGAGGAAGTTGTCATTTCAAGTGTTAATATTAGCAGATAAAGGGGCTTTGAAAGTTGATAGTGTGTTGAAATGAGGGGCTAGGAAGTTCCAGAGACTTGTCTAAAATGTCATTAATTCACTAGTTTCTACTTGAGATACCATCTTACCCGGATTTGGATGCATGTCTCTGCTATTGTGTAGTGGTCAGCTTTACGTTCTGTCAGGAAATTTACTTTGCTTTCCTGAGTATACGGATCACTTGCCAGCTCTAAGGGTTGGGGTACAAGGCTCAAATTTGAGCTTGTCACTGTGACCTTGGTAGAATTGAAGTAATTTGTACATGGTTTCCCATTCCAACCTCCTAATGAAAGTGCCATGATCAAATTCCTAGTAAAAATGTATCATTGTTTAAGGAAGTGTTTACAATTGAGACTTATGCAGTCTGTGGTTGTTTCTCTCCCCCTCTCTGGGCTTTAGCTGTACCCTTTATGTATCTGAATTAAGTCACTTACACAGAGCAAAGTGCTTTCATTTGTTACTCATTCTGCCCCACTTTATCGAATGGTCTTATATTTGAGCATTTCCCCATTCTTCCTAAAAATCATTGCAGTTGTAGGTAACTGCTTGGTTTATTTAGGGTTGTTTGCAATGTCTTAATCCTTTAGTCAGTGTCAGAGCTCTTGGAAAATGCTAGTTTTAAACCAGTGTGAGTGGGATTTAGCTAATTTGGTCTCCATTGTGAATTGGGATAATAGAGGAGCAATATAATCTTGGGTCTTTACTTAAAACGTTTGATGACCCCTTTAAATATTTTGGCTCCTAAGAGACTAATTCATGTTGTTTATCAGCTGTTTTAAAAATAGCACCTTGGCGTTTAACGTTTTCCCCCTTGGTGCTGGTTTCAAGTGTATCCCTTAATAAAAAACGAAGTAGAGAAATTACCAATACATTCTTGTAATTTCAAGAGTTAAAAACACAGGTGGTGCTCCCAGTCAGTTGAAGAGAGAGATTGTTACCAGTATCCCACCCCCCACAAATGCAACTTGAAACATGGGACAGAGTGTTTATTAAGTTTCCAGTAGGTGGTTCTGACATTAAATCTTTGTGACCTTGCAAATCATGTTGTATATTTTGTTTCTGTATGTTAACTAAGATACAGGGAATAATGTTTGGTGACTCTAGATGCTATCTCTGACTTATGATTTAAAAGTACAAAGTATTTTTGTTCATAAAATGTAATCTTATTTGGAAGTAAATGTTTCTATCTGTCTGGGAAAGAAAAGTTAATGGTGAATTCTAAAAATGCCAATTCTGCACCTGATGTTAACTTGGAGGTATAAATTAGTGCAGAACACTCTAGTGCTTTACATAGTTTCAAGCGTTTTCATCTTTGAGTTTAATATACCATATTTTTACATTTTTTTGTTTGCATTTCTAACTTTTTGTTTTCCCCCCTCCTTCCCTCAAATGTTTTGATGATTCTCCAGAACCAACGAAACGTATGCTTTCCTTCCAAGGGTTAGCTGAGTTGGCACATCGAGAATATCAGGCAGGAGATTTTGAGGCAGCTGAGAGACACTGCATGCAGCTCTGGAGACAAGAGCCAGACAATACTGGTGTGCTTTTATTACTTTCATCTATACACTTCCAGTGTCGAAGGCTGGACAGGTAGGAGATGTGGGGGTACCTGCTGGTGATTGCTGCCTCTGGGTGCTGAGCTTAAAAAAATGATACTTAAATATTTGAACTTGAAATTTTTCCAGTACTGGGTTTCAACTAAGCCACCAACGCACATCTGCTCTTTTGCCCACTTGGGACATGCCCAACTGCCAGTTTTTCTCCTTTCTTTCGTGGTGGTGTTTATATTCTCAGTATGACTAGGGACCTTTTCTGGATTTTCCCACCTACATCTGCCTTCTTAACTCTGTTCAGGTATACTAAGAATAATTTATTCCATCTGAGCATCCTGTCTCACCTTTGTAAGCTGTGTCAGTTTGAGGAATGGAAATGCTCAGAAATGATGGTGTATGTTGCTGTGGTAGGAGGTGCATATGTGGTTCAAGTTGCAAATGCACAAATCGTTATGATATACTACTTTTAGCTCATCAGTTGAATTAATCAAAAGGGAAGAATCTGTCTTACCCTTTTAATAAATTGCCATTCTGGCTTATTTAGACATTAAAAGATGAGTGTCGTTACATTTTAATCAACAAATGGAAATGAGGGTCATGCACATAGCATTTTCATTCTTGATCTTAGTGTTCATGTCTTTACAATGTGGCAGTTTGATAAGACTTTAGTAAGAATTTTATCTCATAAGAAAAAAGGATTCCAACTTGAAATTGGGGATACCTCTACTTTTGGAAAACTTTGATTTCCAAAATTATTTCCTACCGTACAGTAGTTAAAAGATACTGTCTTGTTACACAGTCAGCAGTAATAGCACAGGAGCTTCAGAAACTGAGTTGCGTGTGGGCCATACCTTCTCTCTGTGACACGCATACCCATGTATCAACACTTTCCGCTTTTTCCAGATCTGCTCACTTTAGCACTCTGGCAATTAAACAGAACCCCCTTCTGGCAGAAGCCTATTCGAATTTGGGGAACGTGTACAAGGAAAGAGGGCAGTTACAGGAAGCAATTGAGCACTACCGGCACGCACTGCGTCTCAAACCAGATTTCATCGATGGTTATATTAACCTGGCAGCCGCATTGGTAGCAGCAGGTGACATGGAAGGGGCAGTACAAGCTTACGTCTCTGCTCTTCAGTACAATCCTGTGAGTAACATTTTAATGGTTATTATTTCCCTTTACAAAAGCCCACAGGGAAATAGCCTGCTACTTCAGACATTAAATAGGTTTTTGGATGGAATGAAGTTGAGTTTAGAAATGTTTGATGACTTAAAATGGTGAAATTGCTTGGACTGGATCTGCATTAGGTTTTAAAAAATTAGTTTTATCTAGCAAGTTACATTTAAAAAGCATAAAAATTACCCTTATTGCAAGAAGTTCTACACCTATTTTTATTTTTTTTATTTTATTTTTTTAAAAAGATTATTTATTTATTTATTTGACAGACAGAGATCACAAGTAGGCAGAGAGGCAGGCAGAGAGAGAGGAAGGGAAGCAAGCTCCCTGCTGAGCAGAGAGCCCGATTCCGGGCTCGATCCCAGGATCCTGGGATCACGACCTGAGCCGAAGGCAGAGGCTTTAACCCACTGAGCCACCCAGGTGCCCCTACACCTATTTTTATAATGACCGTAAAAATGCAGAACATACGACATTTTGGGGGGGGTTGTTTGATTAAATTTGGGTATGTTCTGATAGGTATTTGTAACAGTTAATTGATTTTCAAGGCATACTAGAGGAAGGGCCTTAATCTGTAATAGGAAATAGTTATAACAGGACGCCACTGTTTTGGGTCAGTGACATGAAAACTAGGCTGCGAAATGTGTTCCTCAGTAGCGTATTCTGTTTTCATTCAACATAATTACAAGTGGTAGAATTGAGGCAATAGCATCCAAACCAGGTTTTTGATTAGTTTTTAAATTTTGGGGGCTAAATTGCTGATGTTCTCTGGCGAACAAGTGAGGCCCAGCTGGTAGACATTAAGTTCACATTGAGTTAGGGTCTCTGAAAGATTGATTAAAAAAAAAAAAAAAGTAAGACTGGCCCTCAGAACTTTTGATGTAGTTAAGAAAGAACTACAGATAGATATATACTTAAGAGGTAATGATAGAAGGAGTATAGGTCTCCAGAAAAAATGAAGGGTACATAACCAAGCTAGGTGGTCCACATTTAGTTTTACAACAAGTCTGGAAGTTATTTATGTTAGTTAATTATGTTAGCTACCATTTATTGAAAATCCGCTATGTGCTCAAATACTGTGCCAGTTGTTTCAGATATTGGTCTTCTTAATGCTTATGATCCTTTGAAGTAGATAGTATTATTGCCAGTTTTACCAGTTAAAAGAGAGAGTCAGGAGAGTCAGGGGTCCTGTAACTTTCTTGGGATCACACAGCCAGTAATGGAGAAGTAAGATATTAAAACCTGAGCCTGAATATAATTTTTTTCCTCTTGGTAACTGTCTTTTTAAAAAAATTCACATAAAATTAACATACAGTGTTATATTTAAGGTGTATAGTATAGTGACTCAGCAATTCTATACATTATTCAGTGCTCCTCACGGTAAGTGTATCTTAATCCCCTTGGCCTAGTCCACCCCCCCCCCCCCCCCCCCTCCCCCCTGGCAGCCACCACTTTGTTCTCTGTATTTAAGAGTCAGGGTTTTTTCTGTTTTTTTTTTTTCTTTGTTCATTTCTTTTGAGCTTGAATATCTTGAAAGTAAACACAGAAGAGAGAAGAAATAAAAGATTAAAAAAGGGAGATGTGCCCAGAGGCCCCCCTCGCTCAAGGCAGCTGTTGAGTACAGTTTGAAAACCGTTGATCGGATCCTACTGTCCCTTAATCCCCATTTTACAGGTTTGGAAACTGCAGCTTAATTTAGTAGTTTGTGCAAAAGATCTGAAATCACTTTTCATTATGACATCTGTTAATGATTATTTTTCCAGTTAATTTTAAGAGTTTAATATTTATTATTATTTTTTCATTGCTTTTTGTATGGATACAGTGAAAAGTCTCCCAGTTGCTCTTCTTGGAGGTAGTCAGTGAAACTAACTCCTTACATGCATTGAGTATTCTGAAAGGATATGTAGATTTGCATGGCTTTTTGTGATTTTTATTGCAGTATTATCTAACTAGTTTCCACAAGAAATTATGTGGGGAGCCCTGTACTGCCACTGGGGCTTGGACCCTGTTCTTCAGAGCCAGGGCTCAGAGTTCACTTGTGCACCTAGTTTTCACAGTAAATTCGTACCCTTTATTAATCAGGGTTGGTTCCGCCCTTCTCTTGTTGATTGAGTATAAACTCACTCTTGCCCTCTTATATAGCTGTGGCTCCACATCTTGAACTCTGATCCCCTTGGCTCAGGTTTTCAGTTGTTTACATGTGTAGCAGGGCAGTCATTGCTGCTGACCTGATACCAGACTGCAGGAGTAGAAAACCTAAAGGAGAAGGGAAGACTAAAGTGGGAGACAGAACCGTGTTTTTCAATATCTAACCTGTTAACAGAAAGCTTGTTGTTGGACCTTACCAAAGAAGTAAAAACAGTCCTAAAATACATCGTGGGACTACCTCCTTAAAGGCACTGAACAGCTATGAATTCCCATGTGGTTCTGTTTCTACTAGCGGAAGTTGCTGCTTTATTTCTGTGCCTTCACCAGTAAGAGTGAAAAAAGGATTGTGCAGACTGCTGTGATTTCACCTTAAATATACCAGTAATGTTTTAACTTATTGAAGGATATCTAGCCTTAACTAGACTTCAGCTTAGTGTCAAATGCCTTTGTCAGTTCAGTACTGACAGTCTATAGTCTGTTCCTAAGTTGTGCTCTTGTTAGCAATGCATTGTTGTCTTGAATCATAGAAGTAGTTGGCCTATGAAAAATAATTAAAATCACGTTATTTTGGTTTTGCAGCAGTGAAAAGGTAAAATGTTAGGGTAGTATTCTTGGTAATCTGTTTTCAGCAGTGTTTATCCTTTCTAGTTAATGGTAGAAGTTATTCTGTGACTTGATTATAGAAATTTTAAGACCTGGAGCTGTTTCATATTTTTATGTTCTGAACTGTCTTCTGTAATGTTGGATTTAATAATTTCACTGAAATTTTAGTCCATTGTATTTAAGGGTGCTATTGCAGCGGTTAATCTACATGATGGTTCACTAGAGTTGCCTCATACCCAGCAGTCCCTTTTATGAATTACGTATAAAATTGTCCTTTGTAAAATGGCTATAACCCTGAGTTGTTCTAAGGAGCTCTGTTGGCGGTTGAAACATTGCTTTGGCTTTGATTGTGGATGCATAATGCTGAGAGCTACTGGCATCCTGACTATCATGTTACTGTCACGTAATTTGTTACTGTTGTGAGCTAAGCTGTGGAAAACCATATATTTCTGTTTCTCTCTGCTTTTTATTATGTTTGCTGTGCAAATGTCACATTTAAATATTTGAGTGCTTATTGTGTGTGCAGTGCTTATTAGGAATTGGGGTGATATGCCAGGGAGAAAAAGTTGGAGGTTCTAAAATGAGAGAGGACCTGACCTGTAAAGAGAAAAAGGGCGTTAAGTTCCTTGGATGATTATTGTTAGAGAGTATTAATCAGAAGATTTTCTTGAGTGGGTGCTTATAACCTAAGCATTCTGTAGGAAGGTAAATAGCAAGTAGACTTCCTTGGCTGAAGTGGTGAGTCAAGTAGTACAAGAAGTGAGTGTAGTAGAGGAGAGTCAGTTTGAAGATTCAGAAAGAGTAGAGGCTGAGGAGTTTAAATTTAAATTGAGAGGCAATTGAGAACTACCGAATGTTTTTATCAACCTGATTCTTCATGTGTATGTGTGTAAGTGTGGATAGATAGATAGATAGATAGATGTGGGTAGGGGTTGGAGCTCTAGGAAGAAAGGCAGGAAATAAATGCTGTTTTGGGAGGGGTGGTTATATAGGAAATTCTTTTTTTCTTTTAAAGATTTTATTTATTTGAGAGAGAGATCACAAGTAGGCAGAGAGGCAGGCGGGGGCAGGGGGGTGGGAAGCAGGCTCCTGCTGAGCAGAGAGCCTGATGCGGGACTCAATCCCAGGACCCTGAGATCATGACCTGAGCCAAAGGCAGAGGCTTTAACCCACTGAGCCACTCAGGCGCCCCTCTATAGGAAATTCTTACTCATTTTGAAGCAGTCTTGGGTTTTGAACTTTTGGGAGAATACTTGTATCCTTGGATTTCCTAGAAATCTGCTGTTTGTGCATAAACGTTTGGATTCCCAAATGGGAGACTTGGATTTCAGTATTATATTTAATATGAGATGTTTTTACCTTTTTCTAAAACTGCCTTGTTGATTATCTGCTAGTGATCTTGAAGATAATCTGTTTTTAACTGTGGGCATTGTGTTAACTTGATTTAGTATGCTGTAATGGATCAAGATGGTATTATTAAATATAGGTAGGCACTGTCAGCAGTTGGATGGCATCCATCCAAGAGTTTATAGAAATTAGAGGGTAAAAGTATGCAACAGTTGGCTAAAATATATAGCCCATTAGGGTCACTGTTGGGGAATTATTGCAAGATTTTTGATTATTATGGCTCAGAAGAGACATAGGAATTGGTAAAAGTCCAAAGGTAAATAACTGCAATAATCAGATGTAGTAATAGAGCTTTTATGTGCAGATTGGATTGTTTAGTTAATGGTTGGCCCAAACTGAAGGGTAACCCTTAAAGTTTAGGAAGAAAAATTATACAAAGTAGATAGCAAGATTATAGAATCATTACTTCTGAGTATAAATAGGGCTAAAAATGCTTAGAGTCATTAGAGGAGGATAAATCTGTAATAAGACTAATGATACCTGTGACTTTTTTTTTAAAGGATTAGTATTAGCCTTTTGTACTTGAGGTCACGGGAGACAGTCCTTCTCTCCCAAAACACCAGTCACTGCTCGATGGACAGACAGGACAGATCAGGTAGATCATGGAATTGACCCAATATGGTCAACTGTTACAGCTGTTCTGTGGCAGTCTGTTTGCTGGCTGACTTTTGGTTCACCTGGTGGATGATTGTATACAGTCACAAAAGCTGTTTGTCAGTAAAATTAACCACGTGATTCTGGAAACCATAATACGATTGTGCATAGAATAGTATATATGATGATACTTTGGTGCAGTTGGCAAAATTTCTCTTACTGGGACTTAATAAGGCTCTTTCCCCCTCTGGAACAGTTTGGAATGATAAGCTTACTCCCTATTGCCATTGTCTGTGCTTGTTAGCTGGTAGATTTGAATGACAAAGGCAAACAAGGACAAATAAAAATTTAAGCTCACTGTTCTGATGAGTCTTTCATACTGATGAACAGATGACTCACAACACAATGGCGTTGCTAATAAAAAAGCAGAGTCAACTGCTTTTCATTATTCACCCACTCAATTCTAATGGCACTTAATACTAATGAGTAATCTAGTGGCAGGTGCCAGGATTGAAGCTTTGGTTGGATGATAATCCTTCTGTCTAATGCTGAAATGAAGTCAAGGTTTCTAAATATGCCTGACAGCGCAAGGGTAGGTTTGCTGATAGCCAGTCACAGCTAAATACTTTTTTTCACTATGGAAAATTTTTGGCCCTTGATACTGGAGTGATAACCTTTGAACAAAATAGTTGAACAAATATTTGGTGCTTTTTTTTTTTAAAAGTGACTGACATTTAGGGAGAGGAGAAGCTTCAGTAAAGCCCATAGTCTCCCCCTCCATTTTAAAAATTTAAATTCAGTTAACATATAATGTATAGTTTCAGAGGTAGAGTTCATGAGTCATCAGTCTTACATAATACCCAGTGCTCATCACATCACATGCCCTCCTTGCCCTCCTTAATGTCCATCACCCAGTAACTCCATCCTCCCACCTCCCCTCCCCTCCGGCAACACTCAGTTTGTTTCCTATGTTTAAGAGTCTCTTAGGGTTTGTGTCCTGCTCTGATTTTGTTTTGCTTTATTTTTCCCTCTCTTCCCCTATGATCCTCTGTTTTGTTTCTTTTTTTTTTTAAAGATTTTATTTATTTATTTGACAGAGATCACGAGTAGGCAGAGAGGCAGGCAGAGAGAGGGGGAAGCAGGCTCCTTGCTGAGCAGAGAGCCCGATGCGGGGCTCGATCCCAGGACCCTGAGATCGTGACCTGAGCCGAAGGCAGAGGCTTAACCCGCTGAGCCACCCAGGCACCCTGTTTTGTTTCTTAAATTCCGTATATGAGTGAGATTATAGTCTTTCTCTTATTGACTTATTTCAGTTAGCATAATACTTTCCAGTTCCAAGGCCCATAGTCTCTTATCTGAAACTGGTGGGATCAGATGCATTTCAAAATTCAAAATTTTTTAGGATTTTCAAAAGATGGTAGTACCATGTATAAAGCTCTCAGGTGAGTCTGGAGCAGTACCTTCTAGTAAAACACATGTTTCTGCAGCAGGAGGTTTGAGTATTCACACTAAGTGGGATCAATGAATTCTCTAAATAGCTTTGTGCCGGTTCTGGTCAGATTTAATCATCAGATAAGTTTTTGGAACTTTTTGGAATTTGGAATTGAGGATGTGGGGTTGTGGTTCTGTAATTTGTCAAGCAGTATCTTTAGTTGGCAGAATAAAAGGACAGCAAGCTTAGATGCATAAAAGTAATTTCAAGGTATTTTTGGTTGACAGTATAATTAAGGAGTATCTCCTGGTTTCTAGGATTTGTACTGTGTTCGCAGTGACCTGGGGAACCTGCTCAAAGCCCTGGGTCGCTTGGAAGAAGCCAAGGTAGGTGTTTGATAGAATACATTTAAACATCAGTGTTATGAAAACTTGTACTTTTTGCCAAGTCTTCAACTCTTCATTGAGCTATCTCCAAAAAACAGTCCTATGAAACTGAGGAAAACTGATGGCATGAATCACCTCAGACTAGAGCAGGGCCAGGCTTTGGCATATCTGTTCTAAGTCTGGGGGTAAAGCAAGAACCTGAACATTTTGGAGCCTTTCTGCTGAGCTAGATCATCTTTATAACAATGGGCTCCGTTATGATCTTATGTGGGAATAAGTAACTATTCCTTCAAATCTGAGGCTTGCCTGCTGGTGACAAGCAGAGCACCTGTGATTTGGCTCAAGACTCCTATATGATGCAGGTGCCATTGAAAATGCTGCTCTTCTAAGTCCTTTGTGGCTTGTAAGTGGAGAAGAATTTCATCCAAATGTTACCCTGTAATACTGGCATTTAAAATTCTTATTTAACCTTCCTCCCTTCATCTTCCTTACCCTTTTTACAGTGGAAGAAAGGCTGTTAAAATGATTGCAAATTAATAATTGGAACATCCTGCCCCTTGTCCCTACTCCCTCCCCTAAGTTCCTTTTTCCTCTTTTCCAAACCTATTTGTCTACCTTCTTTTCTTCCTTACTTCCTTCTTTTATTCCTCCCCACCCTACCTCTTTAAAAAAAAGAAAAAAAAAAAGGACAAAGCTGGTTTGTTTGGGAAATGGACTGATCGAAAGAAAACTTGCCAAAGTGGAAAGGTGGCTTTTAGCATTCTTTGTTTCCAAATAATGAATTTGAACACCAGGTTGGGTTATTAAAGCTTTTGGTATAATTGTAAATTAAATTTACAAATGAAATTGTCTTGTTACAAGCCACCTTACGCAACCGCGCTGCAGGGGTGAGGAGTGGGGAGAAACCAGAATGCTTCTGAAACTCCCACCTGTTGCTCTGAGCCCCACGCGCATGCTAATGCGTGGAGTGTATGCGCAGCGTAGCTGTCTGTTTGCTTCATCCAGGGAGGGCGAAGGCTTTTCAGCACCATCTAATGTTAAAAGGCACTAGTTTTAAGTGCGTAGCTCATAAATTCTGCTGACACTTTGGATTAACCTTTATGTAGGTTTCCAGCTAATGAATTGTAATGGATTTCAATCTTAGCTGATAAATCTAATTGGTAATTTATAGAACAAATATTCGATAAGCTCCTATTAATTGTCACCCCACCAAGCGGACAGCTAACATGAATTGCACTTCACTGCAGCTTTAGAGATCGGTTTAGGCTGAGACATTGCGCCTGCCTTAGGTTGCTGACTTCTTTATTTCAGAGCTCTGGAGACACCTAGTTTGAAAAATGTTTATTCTGTTTTTGTGAGAACTTAGTGAACAAGAACATACTCTTGAGTGAAATGCAATGGATTTCTTTTGTAATCAGTGCATTTGAAAATTCAAGCCAGCATATTCCTAGTAGATGGAAGCAAAATTAAGTTGTCTTTGTAGAAAGCGAAGAGCCTTTCTTCCAGCAAAAATCCCTGCTGTATGCAATAGCCCTGATTAACCCTCTCCCTTCTGCATGTTTCCCATGTTACAGACTTGAGACTGTCCTCATTCCCATATGTAATAGACATCCAAAGAATTTCAATTGCTTTGTTGAACTTTTACTAATGATCTTGTTTTTATTTTCTCTCTTGTTTTTGGTTTTTCACCATTGATATTGTATTTAGAAGGTTTCAGGTGGGTGAAACCTCCTATTCCATGCGTAAGGTGCCTCGCTGAAGGGAGCTCGAGGCCTGGATCTAGGGCAGACACACACCTCCTCCTCTTCCAGCAAGGAACGCACCGAAAAGTCACATGATGAGAAATATGGTAACGGGTTTGTAACTGCCACAGCAAAACAATTTGCCTCCATGCCTGAATCTTCTGTCTTGTGGCTTCAGAAACAGCTTAAAATAATTTTATTTATGAGCAAGTTACGTAAGAGAATGTTTTATACTATAGCCACAATTCTGTCAAAGATAAGTAAAAGTTAATTGATATTAAAAATTATTAGAGATAATTTACTAGTAAAAGCTTCTAACTCTTCTTGTTGTTCATTTTTTTCCTTTTTTCTTCTTTGTTTGGATTGCAGCATTCTGCTCTTCTGATGATGCGCTGTGACCCTGCAGTAGCGCAAAGGCTGCGCAGCGTTAATGCGCAATGCGTGCAAATGAGCCCCTGTGAACGGTTGACTAGATGAGTAATCTGATTGACTGGCTCCCTCAGTCCTATTGTGTAGCCTTTTTTGGATAAAATTGGGTTTTAACATACCTCGAGTCCAACTAATCTCATTAAACAAATATTCTCTCTGGGCCTGTCTAGTAGATTAATGGATCTGGTTGGCCGTTTGCTGCGTCTAGGGGTGTTCTATGTAGCGCAGCAGTTCGCAGCGATCGCGCAGTGCGTTGCTGTTAGGTTGCGCAAGCGATGTTTGCGCTCGCATTACAGGGACCTCAACCTAGGTGCAGTCCTGTCATATGAGGTTTCAGCTTTGGTCCCCCTTGGGAGTCGGGTGTTGTGAGGATGGATAGCCTGGCTTATACCTGATGTGGCAGAAAGACATTCTTCTCCTCAGTAGCGTAGTTTTGATGTGAGTGAGGAACAGTATTGTTTAGAGCAGCGTTTCCCAAAGTGTGTTTCGTAGCATTCTAGTAATATGTCCACGGAAAAAGAGTTCCATGGTCAACTAAGTTGAGGGAGTCCCATATAAACTGTTAAAGGCTTAGGCAAGTTCTGTAGCAAAGAAACTGTTTTCTGTTCGCCTAATTGATTTGATCACGAAATCCTTTTTTTTCCCAGTGAGCTCTGGTAACATTTTGTAGGGCACGCTTTGGGAAACTGGTGAGGGGGTGATGGGGTGGGAAAATTTGGTTCTGAGCGGCACCCTCTAGAGCAGACTTGAAAACCTAGCAGAAGCCCTTAGGTGTTCAGATAAGAGAAGTCCAGCATAGAGTATTAAGGCAACTGGCTTCCCAGATAAGTCCCAGAATAAAGGGTCGGTTATTGGTCAGCAGAACTGAACATGGTGGTTTGCACTTGGGTTCTGGTGGCGCAGGCGCAGGAGCAGCCAGCTGTGGCAGCGCATTAGTTTTGGCGCAAGCGAGCCTATGCTGCAGGGTCACTTTTGGCTGGTCAGAGAAGGAATAATGATATCACCTTCTTCCCCCCCCCCCCATCTTTTTTTTTCCCTTTACAAATTTTCCCTTTTCCCTTTACCTCCTTCCCCTCCCATCTTCTTTCATTAACCCCTCCTAAGGCATGTTATTTGAAAGCAATTGAGACGCAACCGAACTTTGCAGTAGCTTGGAGTAATCTTGGCTGTGTTTTCAATGCACAAGGAGAGATTTGGCTTGCAATTCATCACTTTGAAAAGGTTAGTCATTAATAATTGGTACTTGGGAAGTGCTTATGTGTGCAGGGTGTTTTTACTTAGAACCAAATAATAGGCCTTTACTTCATCGGTCACTTAATCTTTGTTTCTTTGACAGCGTTATAGCATTTGCTGGATGGTATATGATGTGGCAGTTTCCAGTTTTGTTTGTTTCTGAAGATTTTATTTTATTTTATTTTAAAGATTTTATTTATTTATTTGACACACAGAGAAAGATCACAAGTAGGCAGAGAGGCAGGCAGAGAGAGAGAGGAGAAAGCAGGCTCCCTGCTGAGCAGAGAACCTGATGTGGGGCTCGATCCCAGGACCCTGGGATCATGACCTGAGCCGAAGGCAGAGGCTTTAACCCACTGAGCCACCCAGGTGCCCCTGAAGATTTTATTTTTTAAAGTAATCTCTACATCCAACGTGGGGTTCGATCTCACTCATGACTCTAGGTTCTAAGAGTCACTCGTGGCTCCATCGACTGAGCCAGCCAGGTGCCCCCCCGCCAGGCAGTTTCCAGGTTTGCATGGAAAATATATTTTAGAAATTAAAAATGCTTTTTTAAGAAGGGCAACTTTAAAGAAGCAGGGTTTCTTGGTCAAAAGGCTGATTCCAGATTGGGGTAGGAAATGTACAAAATTAATCTTGAGTACCCTATCACACCAGAAAGCAAGGAAGCTTTGATAGAGTATGTCGAGAGGACTCGAAAAGGCAACCGGAAGAGGCTCATGCTGGCTAAAGATGGGACTTGAACATCAGTTGGAATATTAACTGAGATATATTTGAAACTTGTCAAATGTGTGTAAATTCATGAGTTTATAAATATACTAAGAAGAAATTCATTTGTTACCTTTGGAAGATAAGGAGTAATTCATTTTGAAAACTAACTAGAGTAGGAAGAATAAAGCATTTGTCTTCCTTCTGTGTGAACCAGACCTTAGGGTAACCCAGTAGTTGATGGGGGAAGTTTCTATTTATAGCAGTGTTCCAGCTAGTAAATGAAAAAGGAATGGTACAATCAGAGTTTGACCATTAATAGATTTAGGCATTTATCTGGGGCAAAGAAGACACAACCAGATGCTAGGTACTTTGTGATAGAAGCAGAGAGAAGAGGAAGTGTTCTTTATGACTCTTTAATATGTTCACAATTACTCATTACCTTTACCTTTTCAGTATTTCAGTTAAAGTTTGCATTTATTACACTATAGGAGTACCTACCTCTTGCTCGGTGGTTCTCTGCCTTGGTTGCACGTGAGGAGCTTATAAAAGATAGGAATTCCTGGTGCCATCTTCAGAGGGTCTGATTTAACTGGTACGTGAGAGAGCCCAGGCACCCTTTAGGAGGTGAATTCTTAATGTTATGGCCAGGGTTGAGAATCCCTGCTCTGGTTATATCTGGCCATATTTTAAAACAACTTCAGATTTATTTGGATAAAACCATTTAATGGTTAGTATCTCCTTGAAGTAATGTATCTGACTAAGTGTGTAGCTCTAATTACATATCTTACTAAGGTCTTACTGAGTATGTAGACTTTATTAATGAGCTATATATTTCCCTTTTCAGTTAGAGCCTGCTGCTGTTTCTTCCTGCCATTATGTTTTAGAAGAGTTAGGATTTTTTTTAAAAGATTTTATTTTTTATTCATTTAATTTTTTTAAATTTATTTATTTGATAGGCAGAGATCACAAGTAGGCAGAGAGGCAGGCAGAGAGAGAGGAGGAAGCAGGCTCCCTGCTGAGCAGAGAGCCCGATGTGGGGCTCGATCCCAGGACACTGGGATCATGACCTGAGCCGAAGGCAGAGGCTTTAACCCACTGAGCCACCCAGGCGCCCCTGTTCATTTAATTTTTTGAGGTGGGGAGGGGGCAGACAAAGAGGGAGAGAATCTTAAGGAGGCTCCAAGCCCAGCGTAGAGCCTGATGTGGGGCTTGATCTCAAAACCCTGAGATCATGACCTGAGCCAAAATCAAGAGTTGAACACTTAACCGACTAAGCCACCCAGGCACACTTTTAAGATTTTATTTTAAAGTAATCTCTACACCCAACATGGGGCTCAAACCCATAGTCCTGAGATCAAGAGTCACATGTTGCACACACTGAGCCAGCCAGGCGCTCCTAGAAGAGTTAGGCTAATTAATCTTAAATAAGATAGGGCCCACCGTTAGAAGTATTTAGCTCAGTAAAATTGGAGGAGACCCAGTTTAAAATTTTTCCCTTCAGGACACATTGTGCTCTCCCATTACACAAGTTATTTTGATAACATTGAGGTTTGTGAATAATGAGTGGGTACTAAAATAACGGTTTTTAAAAGTTTGTTTCATAATTTCTCCACCCAGTGTGGAGCTCAAACACACAATGCTGAGATCAAGAGTTGCATGCTCCGACTGAGTCAGCCAGACGCCCCTATATGGGTTTTTTTTTTTTTAAGTGAAAGAAATAAGATTTAACTATACTGGAATATGTAATTGGAGGCCTAAAATTATCTCAGAATAAAAAATTGTAATTGGCAAGTGTAATCTGAAATCTTAACTTGTCTCTGAGTAGCTGTCTTGTAATTTTTAGGCTGTCACCCTTGACCCCAATTTTCTGGATGCTTATATCAATTTAGGAAATGTCTTGAAAGAGGCACGGATATTTGACAGGTGAGAGAATGTTCTATTTGATACATTTTCTTGAGTGTTTGTTGTATTGGCACTTGAGCCTTTGGACTAAAATGATGACAGTGGTCCATTGAAATACATTTTCCTTTTCTAGTATGTTGCTTTTCCCTCATCATGTCTGCTGTGTTACCTTTTATTTAGAGGCATTGTTGCCTGACTTTTCATTGCTGGCTTTCCTCCAAGCCATTATCCTTCTCACTGGGAATTTAATTGAAATTTCTTTTATTGTAAACCTGTTGAAGTGGTTATCTTTTAGACTAAATTATTTCTTTGATCTGATTCCAAAGGCTAAGTGTGTAGCTCTACAGTAAATCCTGACTTTTTGACCTCTTTTTTTTTTTGTTAGGGGAGAGCTGATTTCTTATGTGGAAATAGAAAATTTTTCAGTGTAAAAATACATTTTTATTAAGGTGGAATGTTGATGTGAGGTTAAGTATAGTATAGCATGAATTATAATTAATTGATATACTTTGGTATAGCTTGAATTAATTGTAACAAAGCATCCATTAAAAGTTAGTTGCATTGTGTGTGTGTGTGTGTGTGTATGTTTTTTTTTTATTTACAGAGCTGTGGCAGCTTACCTTCGTGCCCTAAGCTTGAGTCCAAATCATGCAGTGGTGCACGGCAACCTGGCTTGTGTATACTATGAGCAAGGCCTGATAGATCTGGCAATAGACACCTACAGGCGAGCTATTGAACTGCAACCACATTTCCCTGATGCCTACTGCAACCTAGCCAATGCACTCAAAGAGAAGGGCAGTGTAAGGACATTTATTCAGTCTATTTCTTTGTTACCTGGTAGGATTAAAAAGCTGTTTCTGTACCTATTGCTATTAAGTATCGGAGTGGTGAATTGTTTTACTTTCAAGTTTTGGTTGAGAGAATAGCAAAAATACCTATTTTCTAGAATATTATCAGCCATTAGGCTTAATTAAGCAGTTGTTGGAATAACATCTGTGGTGGCTCTGTGATTCCTCCGTATAGGTGTTGAATAATTTGTTTCATTTTCTAGGTTGCCGAAGCAGAAGATTGTTATAATACAGCTCTCCGGCTGTGTCCCACCCATGCAGACTCTCTGAATAACCTAGCCAATATCAAAAGAGAACAGGGAAACATTGAAGAGGCTGTTCGCTTATATCGTAAAGCATTGGAAGTATGTTCAGGGTGGTGTGGCTGGATATTTTTTCTGTGTGTTAATAGAGGAAAGGCAGTTAAAGTTTGCCATGTCATCCACCTCTTTTGTAAAAACAGTGGTTGAATCATTCTTTGAACCAGTAATTGAGTATCTAAGGTCTGAGTGAAGTCTTGTGTGACATTCAGGGAAGTCTCTATGTTGAGTTTGTTATTTTATGGGCAGGTAGAGCTACACGGAAAAGTTAAACTGAGTTCACAGTTCAAGAGAGGTTACAAATAAGTCCATAATTTCAGTGCCTGATGGCTGTAATGGTGGGTGGTGGTTGTGGTAGGAGTTTAATAAGAGACCGAGATTTTAGAAAAGAGAGATGCTGGAGTAATCGGCATAAGCTGGATGAGGAGAGGTCTTACCTCCTCACCTTTGGAAACAAGGAGAGGTAAAAAATAAAGGAAGCGGTAGAATTTGAGTCACTTGATTTTGAAGAATGAGGAGACTTGGAGAAGGTAGACAGAAATGTAGGGATATAAAGATACTTGAGCAAAGTTCTTACCGTGGTAAGTTTTTACTGCTGGTTTAGAAGTTTTTTTTAAACCTCGGATGTCATCTTGACTCTGTAGGTCTTCCCAGAGTTTGCTGCTGCTCATTCAAATTTAGCAAGTGTACTGCAGCAGCAGGGAAAACTTCAGGAAGCTCTGATGCATTATAAGGAGGCTATTCGGTAAGATCCTCACTGTCTAATTTTTTTTTTTCCTTTACATTTTTAAATGTTTGGCCTGTGGCACATTTGGCTTGTGTTAAGATGACTTTTAATAACCATAGACTAACATTACAGGGAGTTAAAGGTTTTTGTACTAGAAGAAGAAAATCTTCGTTTTCTCTTTTAGAATTAGTCCTACCTTTGCTGATGCCTACTCGAACATGGGAAACACTCTAAAGGAGATGCAGGATGTTCAGGGAGCTTTGCAGTGTTACACTCGTGCCATTCAGATTAACCCTGCGTTTGCAGATGCCCACAGCAATTTGGCTTCCATTCATAAGGTTACTACTGTTGATTATAATACGTGCATCTAAGCACCTAATGTTTAATTGTAGCAAAACTTTTAACCATCCCACTTTACTTATTTCCAGGATTCAGGGAATATTCCAGAAGCGATTGCTTCCTACCGCACTGCTCTGAAACTGAAGCCTGATTTTCCTGATGCTTATTGTAACTTGGCTCATTGCCTGCAGGTAAAGAATAACAGGCCAGTAATTGGGTTTTGGTGTGGCAATCACTTTTTAATTGTTATGTGCCACATTAATCCAAGCCTGGCCAGAGAGCTTTAAACAAACTATTTTCTAAAGGGTTATCTGAAGTTATATTAGGCCGAAGTCATGTAAAATGTTAAATCTTGGAATAGGGTTTTCTGGGAAATAACTTTTTTTTCCCCCCAAGACTTTATTTGACAGAGCCAGAGAGCACAGGCTGGGGGGTGGGGGAGAGGTGGGGCGGAGATGGCAGAGGGAGAGGGAGAAGCAGGCTCCCCACTGAGCAGGGAGACCGACATGGGGCTCCATCCCAGGACCCCGGGATCACAACCTGAGCCAAAGGCAGATGCCCAATCACCTGAGCCACCCAGGTGCCTCTGGGTAGTAACTGCTTCTTGCCTCCTCTAGATTGTCTGTGACTGGACAGACTATGATGAGCGAATGAAGAAGTTGGTCAGTATTGTGGCTGACCAGCTAGAGAAGAACAGGTTGCCTTCTGTGCACCCTCATCATAGTATGCTATACCCTCTTTCTCACGGCTTCAGGAAGGCTATTGCTGAGAGGCATGGAAACCTCTGCTTGGATAAGGTACGATTGTTTTGTCTCAATCTTTCTGTTTCACAATAAAGTACAGATACAGAAGATGACGTGAATCAGTCATATGTATGTGGTTTCTTGAGTTACTTACTATAAGGTGAACACAACCCATGCTGAGAAACGAGATACCCCAGAGATACCATGTCTCAGTCATGACCCCTTCCATCCCCTAGGGTGGAATTCTAACAGTAGAGGGCTGGTGTTTGAAAGCCATAATGTTTAATAAAAGTGTTTGGTATTTTATACTCTGCTTTGAGAATTAGAGCAGTACTTGATCAAAGATGACAGTTTGCTCAGCAGAATGGATTAGAGTGCTAAATGTAATTCTGTGTTTTAGAAATGCTTCCCTATAGAATTTTCTAAAATGCAGGGTATGTCATGCTCTGTCCACACTGCCTCGAGCTTTCTCCAAGTTTTAGATTTGCTCAAGCTACTTCTTAGGCCTCAGGAACAGGTCAGAATATGAAGCATATTATATAAACTGCTAAGATTGGATTGAATTGGCTGTATGACTTAAGTATTCTGGGCAAACCATTTCCAACAGATGGAAAGTACAGGCTTGTTTTGTTTTTTATCAGTTTTCCTAGATGAATATTTATGTATAGATTCAACTATACTAACAGGCATTGGTTTCTGTTGGTAGATTAATGTCCTTCATAAACCACCATATGAACATCCAAAAGACTTGAAGCTTAGTGATGGTCGGCTGCGTGTAGGATATGTGAGTTCTGACTTTGGGAATCATCCTACTTCTCACCTTATGCAGTCTATTCCAGGCATGCACAATCCTGATAAATTTGAGGTAAGACTAGTATTTCCCTAGAGACACTATTTGTTTTATTTAAAAAAAAAACAACAACAAAAAATATTTCTGGCTTTATCATCGCCATTAGGTGTTAAGGTCAGTCAGTGTCTTTTTTGAAAGATTTGAGCCAAGATTAGCTTTACATTTAATTTTAATTTTTTAATTGAAATACAGTTGACATACAGTATTACATTAGTTTCAGGTGTACAACATAGTGATTCACATTCGTTCATTATGAAATGCTCACCACAGTAAGTGTAGTTACTGTCTGTTACCATATAAAGTCATTAAATGTTGACTGAATTCCCTATGCTGTACTTTTCCAGTTAGAAAATAAGTCACAGGGATGGAGTTTGTACATCTTAATCCCGTTCACCCATTTTACCCATTCTCCTCACCTCTTCCCTCTGGCAACCACCATTTTGTTCTCTGTACTTAGGAGTCTGTTTCTGTGTATTTTTTGTTTGGTCATTTGTGTTTTATAATTCCATATGTAAGTGAAATCATATGGTACTTGTCTTTTTCTGTCTGACATATTTCACTTAGAATAATATTTTCTAATTCCATCCATGTTGTTGTGAATGGCAAGATTTCCTTCTTTTCTATGGCTCCATTGTATGTATGCATGCGTGTATGCCAACACCCTCTGTGTATTCTTTATCCAATCATCTCTTGATGGACATATCGGTGGTTGCTTCTGTATCTTGTTAAGCCGAGGTTTTTAAATACATTGTGTGCTGCCCTTCAGGTATTCTGTTACGCCCTGAGCCCAGATGATGGCACAAACTTCAGAGTGAAAGTGATGGCAGAAGCCAATCATTTCATTGATCTCTCTCAGGTAGGCGAAACTCCTACACTTCAGGCTTTTAATTTAAAACAAATAGTGAATGAAACTATTGGTGTGTAGCTTGTATTTTTCATGACCAGTATTTAACATCAGTCATTACATATGGATAATTACTGTGGTCTTATTTCTCTGATCATTTACATTTGTAATCAGTGTGGATTGTGCTGACGTTGCAAATGAAATCAAAATGGGATCTATTTGTGCTTGGACATAGAACTCTTCAGGAAATGCTGCCTTGGAAGAGGAATAAATAGGTTATTTAAAGAAAATAGAGGAATTCTAGGGTTCATCATGGTTCATCTGTTTTTGTGGGCATTTGCCTTTGGTTATCTTTATTTCTGTACTTGCTCTATTGTTATTTTTAGGAGCATCAATTTTATGATAAATTTAAGATTGAGGGCGCCTGGGTGGCTCAGTTGGTTAAGTGGCTGCCTTTGGCTCAGATCATGATTTCAGGGTTCTGGGATCGAGTCCTGCATCGGGCTCCCTGCTCGGGGGAATCTGCTCCCTCTGCCTGCTGCTCCCCCTGCTTGTACTGTCTGTCTTTATGTGAAATAAGTAAATCTTTTTTTTAAGATTTTATTTATTTATTTGACAGAGAGATCACAAGTAGGCAGAGAGGCAGGCAGAGAGAGGGGGAAGCAGGCGCCCCGCTGAGCAGAGAGCCCGATGCAGGACTTGATCCCAGGACCCTGAGATCATGACCTGAGCCGAAGGCAGAGGTTTAACCCACTAAGCCACCCAGGCGCCCAGTAAATAAACGCTTTGAACAAAATTAAGATTGAAACCTGTGGAGGAATTAATTTGCTCGGTTTAGAGGTTTTTCTTTATAGATTCTGTGGGTCACTTTGGTGACTAAAAGGGATATGCAATGTTTGGTATATCTAGTAATTGATACATGAATCATTGAAGTTCCAGCAGAAGGGTTGTGAGATCCTTGTCATTTAGTAAATAGTGTGTACCAACATTTTTAGCAATGTAGCTGTTGCTTTGGGAGTATACTTAACCCTTTCTGATATAGCGTTTAGACTCTGACCAAGAAGCATACTGTCCTCCACATCTGAGACGTTCAGGGACCCACTGCTTATTGACTGTGGAGTCTAAACTCTTCAGCAGGGCCTTCACAGTCCTTCTTTCTTTTTTTAAATTTATTTATTTAGAGAGAGGGCTCGAGTTGGGATGGGGAGAGACAGAGGGAGAGAATCTCAAGCAGACTCCGTGCTGAGTGCGGAGCCCGACATAGGGATCCATCTCATGAACCTACGATCATGACCTGAGCGAAAATCAAGAGTTGGACGCTTGACTGAGCCACCCGGCCACCCCAGCCTTCACAATCTAAGTCTGAGCACAGCCATGTTTGCCAATGCTTTTCACCTGCCATTTGCCCTCATATATACCTTATACCAGACAGAAGTGATCTACTCAGCATTTTCAAAATCTACCATGCACTTTACTCTGGTTCTTTATTCATTCTGTTCTCTATTGAGATTCTGTTCTGTCCAACTGCCTCAAACTCTTATTCATCTTTGAAGGCCCATTTCAAACACCAATCCTCTATGAAGTCTTGTTATTCATAGGTTCAATATAGAGTGAACTCCGCTTCCTGAGTATTCTGTTTCTGTAATGTTTTGGGCCCATTTTAATGGCACTTAGCCATATTTTTATGCTGCATTAATGTAATTTGTGTTACTGTGTTTTGCACCTATGACTCTGAATTCTATTTGCCATTAAAGCTAATTGAATTAGTTTGAGATTACACATAGTTCTTTTTTTTTATTCCACAGATTCCATGCAATGGAAAAGCAGCTGATCGCATCCATCAGGATGGCATACACATCCTTGTAAATATGAATGGTTATACCAAGGGTGCTCGAAATGAACTCTTTGCTCTCAGGCCTGCTCCTATTCAGGTAAAGGAACTAAATAGTAATTGCTCACAATGTTTATTGAGCTAAAAAGACAGTGATTTCTGCTACCCCCGACCCCCCAGTTACCTGGCATTTGAAACAACAGACATGCTTGACTTAAGAAAAAAAGTATGGTTCTTGAAATGTACAGGGATAAAGAATTTTGAGTGTTGAATACAGTATGCACAGGCACATGTATAGAGACACGCAGTTCATGGTTGAGTACAAACAGTTGTTTGGTATTGTAAATTGGAAAAACGTTTAACACTTCGAAAGGTAGTCTGAGATACTACATCATCCCTCTTGGCTAAAGAAGTCAACCCTCCTTGTATGTTTATTTGGTTTTGAACTCTTTTGATGAAAATTTTTAGGTTTTGGCCTGGTTTCTTTTTTCTTCTAGGCCATGTGGCTGGGATACCCTGGGACTAGTGGTGCACTTTTCATGGACTACATCATCACTGATCAGGAAACGTCACCAGCTGAAGTTGCTGAGCAGTATTCTGAGAAACTGGCTTATATGCCCCATACTTTCTTTATTGGTGATCACGCTAATATGTTCCCTCACTTGAAGGTAGGTAGAAAAACAGTGCTATGTGGATGTTGCAAAGAACTGTAGTCATTTCTTTGTTGTTGTCCCTATGCATCCTAAAAGATTTGTCTCAAACCTTTTTTTTTTAATTAGAAAAAAGCAGTCATCGATTTTAAGTCCAATGGTCACATCTATGATAATCGGATTGTTCTTAATGGCATCGACCTCAAAGCATTTCTTGATAGTCTGCCGGATGTGAAAATTGTCAAGGTCAGAACCTGGTCAATATTGTCATTGAAATGAAGTTATCTGCATTTGGGATCTTATCCCTAATACATTTTGTCATTTTTTCCTTATAGATGAAGTGTCCTGATGGAGGAGACAATGGTGACAGCAGTAATACAGCTCTTAATATGCCTGTTATTCCTATGAATACCATTGCGGAAGCAGTTATCGAGATGATTAACAGAGGGCAAATTCAGATAACAATTAATGGGTTCAGTATTAGCAATGGACTAGCAACTACCCAGGTGAGGAGAGAATAGAGCATAATATGTACCACCAGGTATTCTTTTATCTCCTTTAAGTCTCATAATAACTCCAGGAGGTGTAAGTATCATTATCCCTGTTTCATAGTTGAGGAATTGAGTTCAGTGGAAATTGGCATCTTACATAGATTTGTCTTACTTTATTATTTTATTTTTTTAAAGATTTTATTTACTTGAGAGAGCGAGAGACAGAGATACAGAGCATAAGCAGGGAGGAGAGGGAAAAGCAGGCTCCCTGCTGAGCGGGGAGACTGATTCAGGACTCGATCCCAGGACCCTGGGATCATGACCTAAGCCGAAGGTAGACGCTTAACCAACTCGGCCACCCAGGTGCCCCTCAATTTGTCTTATTTTAAAAGTCTCTTGGATTCAGCCAGTAGGTCACTTAATGAGGGTCTACTTGGTTAACAATATGTTTCTTACTCCTTGCCTGTGGCTTTCTTATCAACAGTGAATAATTATCTGTACTGCATACAGTTTCTTGCTTCTGTTACTCATTCTTTCCCTAGTTAAGTCTTCCTTCCTTTTAAGACTTTTTAGTTCAGATAGTTCCTCCAGGAATCCATTCCTGTCCTTATCACTAATCTGCTAATCTCACCTTTCCTGTTCTGTGCTACTTGTCTTTTCTGCTTCTGTAATACCTGGGATGTATTTTATATCCAGCACAGCATGTTATCATTCTTGTGTTTGTATATTCTCTGTTGAACTGAATTCCTTTAGGGTCTATGTCTTAATCACAGTAATGTACTATGTGTTCAGTAAATATATATTGCATATTGGAGTAAGTGAGTATGTAGCTCTGTCAAGATTATAAGGCAAGGATCTCTCAGGAGTTAAAAGTTTTAGTGGTGTAACAGTTTATACTAAAGGTGCTCAAAATGAACTCTTCTCTCAGGTTAGCTCCTGTTAAGGCAAAGGAATTGATAATAGTCACTTACAGTGTGTATTGGGCTAAAAGGATGGTGTGTTTTCTCTTAATCTCTGATTAACTGCCATTTGAAATAGGACAGACATGTTTGACTTAAGAAAAAAATGTGTATAATTCTTGAAATGCACAGGGACAAAGAATTTTGAGTTTAGAACACAATGCCCAAATGTATGAAATGTCCATGCATACTTGGAATAGTTATATAACAGTTTAACGCAGTACCCAGATGTGTGGGAATTGTAAGGTAAGACTGTAATTAATTGTATACGTAGATACTTAAAAATAGTGATCATCAGTGTGAGGAGATGCAGGAGAGATCGTTTGGAGGAATAAGTTTAGCCTCCAAGGGTGGGTGTGATTTAGAAAAGGACATTTCATTCATTAAAAATAAGCAGAAGGGGTGCCTGGATGGCTCAGTCATTAAGTGTCTGCCATCAGCTCAGGTCATGATCCTGGGATGCTGGGATCGAGCCCCGCATTGGGCTCCCTGCTCCATGGGAAGCCTGCTTCTCTCCATTTCTGTTCCCTCTCTAGCTGTGTGTGTGTGTGTAATAAAATCTAAAAAAAATAAGCAAAGCTTGCTGTTGGAATAAGGTTTTGAAAAGAACTTTTTGGCTTGAGTCATAAGTTTGAAGGTGTGGAGTGGTTCCCCCCCCCATTAAGATAATACTGTAACATTTTCCGTTTTTTGACTTAATATGTCATGAATATTTTTTCATAGTTCAAATGACGTAATTTTTAATGGTTATACTATTTGGCATCTTAAGGTTTCTTTCTTTTTTTTTTTTTTTTTTTAAAGATAGTTATTTGAGGGGTGCCTGAGTGGCTGAGTGGGTTAAAGCCTCTGCCTTCTGCTCAGGTCATGATTCCAGGGTCCTGGGATTGAGCCCTGCATCAGGCTCCCTGCTCAGCAGGGAGCCTGCTTCCTCCTCTCTCTCTGCCTACCTCTCTGCCTACTTGGAATCTCTGTCAGTCAAGTAAATAAATAAAATCTTTAAAAAAAAAAAAAGATAGTTATTTGAGAGAGCGTGTGCATGTGTGTATGAGAACAGGTTGGGGGAGGGGCAGAGTGAGGAGAGAGAAAGTCCTCAAGCCAACTCACCGCTAGCCTCGGAGTCTGAAAACCCTGAGATCGTGACCTGAGCTGAAACCAGGAGTCATATGCCCAACCTGCTGAGCCACCTGGCACCCCAAGGATTCTTCATTAGTTAAAAAATACCAGACGCTGCTGGTTTTAAGTATAAATGGCTTTAAATATAAACACGTATTGTTTTTCATGTTCCAGATCAACAATAAAGCTGCCACTGGAGAAGAGGTTCCTCGTACCATCATTGTAACCACACGTTCTCAGTATGGGTTACCAGAAGATGCCATTGTGTACTGTAATTTTAATCAGTTATACAAAATCGACCCTTCTACTTTGCAGATGTGGGCAAATGTGAGTATGGGTAGATTCATTATTCATGTCTAGAGACACGTAGAGATTATGTAGACCATGTTGCTAAGGCTGCCCTCCACTTCCATTCAGGAGCTGTTGTGCTCATTTCTACAAAAGAGTAGATTTTTCAGCCATTTTTGATTTTTTTTTTTAATTAAAATTTTTTTTTAGTATAGTTGACACAGTATTTTTATTTTATTTTATTTTTTAAGGTTTTATTTATCCATTTGAGAGAGAGATGAGAGGGGAGAAGGTCAGAGGGAGAAGCAGATTCCCCACAGAGCTGGGAGCCTGATGCGGGACGTGATCCTGGGACTCCAGGATCATGATCTGAGTCGAAGGCAGTTGCCCAACCAACCGAGCCACCCAGCAGCCCTATTTTATTTTATTTATTTATTTGGCAGAGAGAGAGACACAGCTAGAGAGGGAACAGAAGTAGGGGGAGTGGGAGAGAGAGCAGCAGGCTTCCCACCGAGCAAGGAGCCCAATGCGGGACTTAATCCCAGGGATCATGACCTGAGCCACCCAGGTGCCCCTTGATTTTTCCTTCCAGTGTATAAATATCATGTTAAGAACCTTTTTAACTTATGTATTCAAAACCAGGGATCAACAAACTTTGTTTTAAAGGGCCAGATGGTAATTATTTTTGTTTTTTTCAGTTCATACTCTATTGCATTTGCTTAACTCTGCCATTTGGAGCAGGCAAGCACCATAGACATTATGTAAATGTAGGAGTATAAATATGTTCCAGTTAAGTTTTATTTACCAAAACAGAAAATATGCCAGATTTGGCTTACAGGTTATAGTTTACCAACCCATGGTCTAAACTGATAGCAAAAGCATCATGTCCACATCCAGCCATGTGTGACAGTCTCCCAGTATTGTAGAGTTTTGATCACGAAGGAATTGGTTTTTGCCATTGCCTCTCGGTCAGTTCATCGGACCAGTTTGCATAAGCAGGACCTCTGAAAGTTCTAAACTTGACTATCCGTAACTGGCTCTTACTCCACTGGGTTGAAATAGAGATAATTGCTGGTTCATTTTCTTTTTGATATTGGGGTGGGGTTTTTCTTTGTATTTTTTTTCTTTTTTTCAAGGAGAAGTATGGGTGGAAGAGAAGCAGGTGAATACAGGCTTACTGTCCCTTAACCTTTACTTCCCAGTGTTCAAAAAAGTCCAAAAACCAGAAGCTTTTTTCAGAAGTTTGTGGCAAATTTATTTGATAGCAAAACTACTTGAAATGATGTTAGGTTGTCTTTTGGTCTTTTATATGTTCCATTCAGTAGGAATATTTGTACATCTCAAAGCAGAGGTACTAATGTGTTTGTTTACAGAGAGTTGCTGCTGAGAGTGTTATATAATACTATTTTTTATGTACTATTTTAAAAAAAATCTAAAGTATCCCAGATTCTGAAATTCATCTCTTCTCATGCCTCTCAGGGAAGGGATAGTAAACTTGTGCGGTAACATTGAATAGATGCAGGTCTAAATCCGGATTGGCAAATTGCGGCCTATGGGCTACATCTGACACACTGCCTGTTTCTGTAACTTTTTTTTTTTAAGATTTTATTTATTTGACAGAGATCATAAGTAGGCAGAGAGGCAGGCAGAGAGAAAGGAGGAAGCCGACTCCCCCCTGAGCAGAGAGCCCAACGTGGGGCTCGATCCCAGGACCCTGGGATCATGACCTGAGCTGAAGGCAGAGGATTTAACCCACTGAGCCACCCAGGCGCCCCTGTTTCTGTAACTTTTATACACACAGTCACGCCTGCTTGTTTACATACTGTCTGTAGCTGTTTTCCAGTGACAAGGACAGAATTGAGTAGTTATGACAGAGTCCATGTGGTTGCAAAGCCAAAAATATTTGTTCTCTGGTCCTTTACAGAAAGTCTGCTGACACCTGATCTTGATTAGGCACGTAGTCAGGCAAGTGTGAGCTCATCCTGTTTGTTGTGTCATGCTGGGGGATTTAAAATTTGAAATGGAAAATTTCTCGCTCATCAGCAAAAACCACTGTCAATAATGATTCCCACAGGACACAGCTGCCTCAGATTTTGCCAATTAGTAACTTGTTTTGTGTCTTACGTCAGTTTTCTCTTTCTTTGAACTCTGGGGACAGCTAAGCACAACAGGAACCTGTAATTCAGTTGATCTAATTCATCTATGAGGGAAAGACAAAGTTCATCGTAGGCTGCTATCTGGGTGACAAGAATAGACTGGTAGAATTATTAGAGCTCTATGAGAGCCTTTCTTGAGAAGGGCAGAACTGTTATTAAAAACTATTCTTGGGGCGCCTGGGTGGCTCAGTCGGTTAAGCGTCTGCCTTCAGCTCAGGTCATGATCCCAGAGTCCTGGGATCGAGCCCCGCATCGGGCTCTCTGCTCAATGGGGAGCCTGCTTCCCCCACTCTCTCCCTGCCTACCTCTCTGCCTACTTGTGATCTCTGTCAAATAAATAAATAAAATCTTTTAAAAAAAAACCCTATTCTTATTTTCCCTATTTTAGATTCTAAAGCGTGTTCCCAATAGTGTGCTGTGGCTGTTGCGGTTTCCAGCAGTAGGAGAACCTAATATTCAACAGTATGCGCAAAACATGGGCCTTCCCCAAAACCGTATCATTTTTTCACCTGTTGCTCCTAAAGAGGAACATGTCAGGAGAGGCCAGCTGGCTGATGTCTGCCTGGACACTCCCCTTTGTAATGGACACACCACAGGGATGGATGTTCTCTGGGCAGGAACACCCATGGTCACTATGCCAGGTGAGTTGCCCATAAATCATTGGAATCTTCCTTGTTCCTTTTAAAACCTCCTTTAGGGGAAACATTTTTTAGGTGAAATTGTGTGTACTAGAAGCAGCACTTAGGGCAAGATGATAAAAAAATGAGCTTTGTTCTAAGTATAAGCACTCTGTTCCATTCTCCTCATCTGCATTGTATGGGGTACATAACAAACAACATTAATAACTGCTGTTTACATCCTCAGATGTGCAGTCTGTTCTCTTTTCTTTTTCTTTTTTTTTTTTTTTTTGCAGGAGAGACTCTTGCTTCTCGTGTTGCAGCTTCCCAGCTCACTTGTTTAGGTTGTCTTGAGCTTATTGCTAAAAATAGACAAGAATATGAAGACATAGCTGTGAAACTGGGAACTGACCTAGAATAGTAAGTAAACTTTTCCGTGAACAAATTTTATGGTAACGGAGATAGATAAGGAAAATTTAGAGAGAATATAGATGTTACACAATGAAATCATAAAATAAGGATAATATGAACTAGGTGATTTAGTTGTATGATCTCTAGATGAGAGAACTTCTGAACTTCCATAAAAGCAGTGATCAATAGGTGTGACTATGTAAAGAGTAAATGGCTGAATAAAAGTGAGTCAAGAAAATAAAAAGGCAAGCAAAGAGGGAAAGAAAATCTTTGTTTCTGTGTCAAATAATAATAGTCTGGTTATATAAAGACCAAAGAACATTCATATCTTAAATTCCTTAAAAGGAAACCAAACACGGAAATGAACAGACAACTCATTCAAGTAGAAATACAAATGGTTAATAAGAGAAAGTTTCAACCTCTGTAATAGAAATGCAAATATAAAATAACATTGTAGTATAGCCATTATTTGCCAGAAAATAAATATTTTTAGTATGATACCAGTGATGAGGGAGCATCCAGGTGCTGGCCTTTTCATACATTTCAGACAGTGAGTAAATTGGTACAACCCTTCCTCAAAATTTGAAGAGCTGTAGGGAAAACAGCCAGACCTTTGACCCTATTAGGGTGCTACATCTTCACTGTAGCCTAAGGGAAAATGCCAGCATAACTTCAGTGCCCTAAGTGGGTGGGAATTAGAGGGGTGGTGCTTAGATAAGCGGTGCTTTAGCCTACAATGAAGTAGTGTTTCTCTCTTAAATGAGGCTTTTCTTTGGGTGTTCTGGGTAATTTTTTTTTCTTCTTGTTTTTCTGAGAAGTAGCATATTCTAGAGAGATTGTTTGGCGGTTTGAATCCACGCCCTCCCACTTACAAGCTTTGTGACCTTGGGCAAGTTAGTCTCTATGTGCCTTGCTTTTTCTGTCTGCAAAATGGGGATGCATGATAGTACCTACCTTGCAGAGATGTAAGGGTTAAAAAAAAAAGGTGTTCCATGTAAAGCACTTAACAAAAGTTCTTGGTAAGCATTCAGAAGATGTTAAGCATTTATATTTTCAAAATCTTCTCCATTGAATATCTCATATATTTAAGAAGAATGATTGAAAATTTTGAGCTCAGTCATTAAAAAATTAAGGTTTGTGTCCATCATTCTAGAGAAAACTACAGTAAATGTTTTAGTTTTAGTGTATTTAAAAATTTTTTTGGAGCTTAGTTGATTTCATATGATACTTTCCCCCAACATTTTGTTATAAAAATTTTCAGTCTTACAGTAAACTTCTGTACCTACTGCCTAGATTTTACCACTAACACTTTACTATCCTTGCTTTATCACGTATCTATTCCTCTATTCATTTATCCATATAGCAATCCATCTTACATGATACATTTTGAAGTACATTGCAGACCTCCATACTCCTGTATACTTAAGAATGGACATCCTTAGAGTTTCATATTATTTTGGAGGCAGAATTTATATACAGTGGAATGCATAAATCTTAAATTTTGAGTTTTGAGACCTACCTTTGTAACCCAAACCTGTAACAGTGTATGGAAACATTATCATCACTCCAGAAAGTTCCTTCACATTCCTTCTCAGTTGGTCCTTCACACCAACCCTCAGGACAACTACTACTGTCCTGAATTTTTTTCCCCATAACTTAGTTTTGCCTTTCTAGAACCATATACAAATGAAACCATACAGTATGCACTCTATAGGTTTTTTTCACCTAGTATAATGTTGTGAGATCGATCCCTGATGTTGGCCTATATCAGTACTTCATTTTTTTTTTTTTATTGCTGAGTAGTATTTCATTGTATGGATGTAGCACAGTTCAACCATTCTCCCGTTGACCTACAGAACTTAGAAAAATAGAGCACAGAAGTACATTTATTTGAAAGGTAGCATTAATATAGTCATGGTTGGGTTGAAGCCAACATAATGTATAGCCATTTTACTAGTTCTGTCACAAAAACTTTAAAACTTTTTTATTAATTGCTTTTAAAAATGCATAGGAGTGTTCCAGCTTCTCCCTCTGAGGTAGTAATTCTCTCCATAGAAGAAGAATGTCATCACAAATTACATATTCAGAAGAGGAATTGAGAATTCTTTACCTGTCTGTTCCCAGTGAAGGACTGATTGCTTCTTTTCCCTATTTTGAATAAAACCATGGTCTTGGTGATACTAGGAACACTTTTTGCTAATATCTAAATAAGTAAGTCACGTGTAAGTGGAAAATTATGGCAGTAGAGATAGTATATTTCTTATCCCCTGGAGTATTTTTCCTATTTCATTAAAATATTCATAAACTGAAAACTTCATCTCACATTCATTGCTTAGCTATTGTAAATGATGCTTCAGTGACCATCTTTGCATGGCCAGGTTTGCCTGTATCTCTGATCATTTTCTTTTGGATAGATGTAAAAGTGTTACTGATCGGTCAGAGGGTTGTTAACATTTAAGTTTCTTGACACACATATTGCTAAATCTCTTATGAAAAGGGTAAGCAGTGTACATTCTAACTGGTACATGGGAATAGACATGTGTGATTGCCAATTCTTTTAAAGGTAGAAGTGAGCTGAAATGGAGAAAGCATGGGATCTCGTGGATATACTTCTTTAGGAAAAACAATATTTTCAGAGGACGTGGAGGTGAACTTGATTATTCTAAATGTTAGCATTGCGTTAGCTGTGATCCTTCCCTTTTTCAGCGTTGAGGTCAGCGTGGCCAGTCAGAAGAGAACACAGTGTGAAGTACAGTCATGTATTTTACCACAGAGGTGACTAGGAATTTGTGAGGGCTGGTTCTGAATTTTTCTGCTCTGATTTGTAAGCTTGGTTCTTTTTTGTTTTATTGCCTAGCCTGAAGAAAATTCGTGGCAAAGTGTGGAAGCAGAGAATATCTAGCCCTCTGTTCAACACCAAACAATACACAATGGAACTAGAGCGGCTCTATCTACAGATGTGGGAGCACTATGCAGCTGGCAACAAACCTGATCACATGATTAAGCCTGTTGAAGTCACTGAGTCGGCCTAAATAAAGACTATGCACAGGAGATTGCCCCTATACCTGAGCCTCAACCTTCTGGGGAAAGGGAACTAGATAATGTACTTTTGCTTATCTGTACGGTATCATGTTGCAGATGGGTGACAAACGATAATAGAATAGCACAGCCAGACTTGCTTCCTGCGTGATAGGGAGAGACACGAGATGGGAAACTGCTGTTCCACAAGGAATCTACACAGAATTTTGCAGCAACCAGGTGGTGCATAGGTCTGGAAGGTCTGATCTCCCTTGGTCTTCCATGGGATGGTTAGTGTGGAGGGGAGATACAGATTGTCCAGCTGTTTTGTGATTCCATGGATTGATTGAGTCTTCTGAATTAATTTTTTTCTTTATACTTTGGGTATTGGAGCTTTTAAAAATGTTTGGTTTCAGGTATTTTTATTCATGTGAAGTGTATATGATTCTCTTGAGATAAGGTTTTAAGCTAAAATGTTGCTCCTTGTTTTAGTTTCTGAACTCTACAAATTAATGGGGACTTTGCTGGTGTAGTCTTTTTTATAGGTTTTATAAACCACTTGAGCCTATATCAGTCGTTTTAGTGTCTGACCTAATGTTTGGAGCTATCAGTGCTTTGTTGGTTTAGATGATGACTCAAAAATTTTTTTCTGGTCCGTTTCCCATTTCCTTCCCTTCCCTTCCCCTCCTTTAAAGTTTCTCCTATAACTCAGCTAACAAAACGAAGTCTGATTTTAAATATCCCAGAGTGTTTCTCTTAAACACATCATCTGGTGCCAAATGAAAATTCTTAGGAGTGATTATTAATTATGCAGGGCATAGTTGTGGTACTGTCATTGATAATAATATAGATTTTTGGGGGGCCTAGTTTTGACCTATTTCACCAGTGTTTTACCTTTGACTGCCCCTCTATGCTGCTTCCAAAAGTGATAGTGTGTGATAAGATTTTTACCTTCCTTTCTCAAGTTTGTTTTTTTTTTTTAAGTGAGTCCTGTTCTTCCTATTTCTTTCAGCAGAAATGAAATCCCAGGTAAGTATAAGTATTCACGTATTTGATCAGTAAGTCACAGTTATCTTCGATACATTAAATAACTTTCATCAAAAAACATGATAGAGGTAAAATGCTCTGAAGGACCAGCTATGTAAATGAGTAATTATTTTTCAGACCTTCTCGGGTATTATGTAATAATTGTCTTCTGGACTTGGTATTGAAGTCTGTACGGATCAGCCTCAGTAGTAGCAAGTGGCTTTGCTACGTGGTTTGGAGTACAAATTAGACTTTAGCCCTCCTGGAGCTTGAGTTCTTGGTATTAAAACCCATAGGAATACAATTACTGAATTTCAACAAAGGATCGAGGGCTTGAGGCTTAAACAAGCCGACATATGAATATATGTTTTGTGTTGCTGTACTGTACTTATGCTCTCCAGTAACAGATATTTTTTTGTCTGCTAGTAGTGTTCTAGATTATAATGTCTTTCCAAAGCGCTGAGGCAGTGCACCTATTCTGTAGTTGCAGCTGATGCCTGAATGTATCCTAGCTGACAAATTATTGATTAATAAGAACTTGAATTTCTGAAAGATTCTTACTGTTAACCAAAATCTGAGCAAGGAGTCTCAAATGTAATTCTTGCCAGAATTACATGTTAAATGAACTGTGTACCTTTTAAAAATGTAAATCAAGAAACATCAGTATAGGGATTTAATTTATTTTTTACCCGATGGAACTACCAGTCAGAGGTTGCCAGCATGGTTGCAGATAAACTGATGTTTGAAATTCACCAAATTACTTACTGTGGAATAGGAGAATATACTTCCAGTGCCCTCAAGGCTGTGACCTTACAGCCATTTTACATAGCACATCATTCCTCCTATAGGGATGAACTTTTTTTTCCTGGCACGAAAAGTAGCCACTCTGGTTGAAGCTTTGCTTATTGTAATAGGCTTTTGTTTCCAGGTAACATGTCTGTGGAAGACTTAATTCTGAATAGAGCTATAGATATATCACTGGAAACTAATTGTTTTTTCTATTATACTCTGCTTTATCAGAAAAGTAAAACATTTAAATTGTGCTACAGAAATCCAGATGTTGTCTTGCGATCTTTAAACAATAAATGAATGATTTGCCCTTAATATGGCTGATGTATTTTGTATTCTGTGAGATTGAGTGTTGGACAGAAAAACAGGGTCACCCAGTGATGAAACTCCTATTGGAACATCTCCAAACAACTGGAGGACCATATTTCCCTAGTGGAGCTGTGATCTTAAGAATTATTTTGTTTTCTCAGCCAGGTGTGGAAGAGGGGTGGGCTTGGGATCCGTTAGAGGACGACAAAGCCTGTGACTCCCAGCACACCCATTCATGGTGGTTTTTGTTTGGCTTATGTAATGACTGTGACTGCTCTGGCTTCGGCTACTGCTGTAGTCTTACTCTTCGTGTGAACTAGTCGTGTTCTTTGTGGTGGTTGAACTCTGCCACAGGTATGAGGGAGGATATCAGAGTAGCAGGGACCAGAACAGACTGTTTAGCTCTGTTTTCTCAGAGATAATAAAAGAGAAAAATTTTCAGTAATATTTCTGGGGTGCTAGGCTGGCTCAGTTGGTAGGTCATGCGACTCGATCTCGGGACTGTGGGTTCAAGCCCCATGTGGGGCATAGAGCTTTACATTACAAAAAAAAAAAAATTCAGCTAATTTACCTCCCAAGCTCTGTGGGTTTTGGCCCTCAAAGTCCTGATGTAGATGGGTGTTTGTTTCCTAAAAGGTGGTGGGGAAGAAAGGTGTCGGGCATCCTATTCAAAGGTTCTCACCCCTCCCCTCTTTCTGTCCTTTTCAATCCACTTCAGCTCCTCCTGTCTAAAGTCTGTAGAAGTTGCTTGTGGATCTGGAATAAGCTTGGGTAACAAGATTTAATTCCAGTCCTAACCCTTTTTATCTGAAGCACATGCCTCTTAATATTTTTTTTTTATTTGACAGATAGAGATCACAAGTAGGCAGAGAGGCAGGCAGAGAGAGAGAGAGAGGAGGAAGCAGGCTCCCTGCCGAGCAGAGAGCCCGATGCGGGGCTCGATCCCAGAACCCTGGGATCATGACCTGAGCCGAAGGCAGAGGCTTTAATCCACTGAGCCACCCAGGCGCCCCCATGCCTCTTAATATTAATGACAACTAACGTTCAGGTTCTTTGCCCAAACCTCTGAGGCACAGTTACGTAGCTCCCATTTTTATAGAAGGGGCTTGTAGAGGTAAACTTTCAAGTTTGTTGTACAGATAGGGTTATAATAATGATAAGCCCCTCTTATCCAATTCCCGACTCATTCAGAAAGTACCTTTATGTATATAGGCAGTTTGGTGCTTAAGAGTTTAGATTTTTTAAAAGATTTTATTTAAAGATTTTGTTAGGGAGAATGCATGAGCAGAGGGGAGGGGCAGAGGGAGAGAGAGAAGCAGGCTCCATGCTCAGCCCCGAGCCATGAGGGTTGGGGGGCGGGTGGAGAGGCTCAATCCCAGGACTCTGAGATCGGGACCTGACCCGAAGGCAGACGCCTAGCTGACTCAGCCAGCCAGGCATCCCTTAAGATTTTATTTTTGAGTAATCTCTATAATGCAGGGCTGGAGCTCCCATCGCTGAAGTTCGAATCCCAGTGCTGGCACTTTGTAGCCGTGTGATCTCTATAAAATGAGTGCTAACATTGCCTACTTTCTGAGGTGTTTTAAAGATTAAATACATATAAAACACTTGGAACAGTGCCTAGCATGAAATAAACGCAATATTATTAATATCTCTACATGCACGGAGGTTTTGTGTTCCGTTTGGGCACATGCTTAAATTATGAAACTTAACGGGCGTCTGCCAGAGAAACATCGTCTAGAAAGCATTTACTTCCCGGTTTGTTTTTCTTTCCTTCTTTCTTTCTTTTTTTTTTTTTTTTAAGATTTTATTTATTTATTTGACAGATCACAAGTGGGCAGAGAGGCAGGCCGGTGGGGGGCGGGGAGCAGGCTCCTTGCTGAGCAGAGAGCCCGATTTGGGGCTTGATCCCAGGAGCAGGACGCTGGGATCATGACCTGAGCCGAAGCAGAGGCTTTAGCCCACTGAGCCACCCAGGCGCCCCCCGGTTTGTTTTTCTTGGTGTGTTCGGAGCGAGTGCCAAAAAGCTTCAAGTAACCAACCCCTCTATCTGCAGGGTCTGGAGGGTTCTGGAAGCAATTGTTCTGGAAGCAAGTGTTGCCAGGTGTTGTTGGATTGGTGCCTTGTTCTTATCTAGGGGTCTAGGTGGCCTTCCCCTATCTCCCCTAGCTCACAGTAGTGGGGGGGGGGCAGGCAAACAGGCTTAGAGGTTTGGGCGATTTCGGCAAGGAACGGGGCTTGCTTTATCCACATTCTCACAAAGATGAAGCTTTGGGGAAGATTCAGCCCAGTTCTTCCATGTCACCGCAAAGTTAATTAAGGGATCGGCAAACTACAGAAGCCGGCTCGGGGACTAGAGCTCGGCGCGAAATAGCGCTTTCTGTGACAAAATAAGCAACACCCGTGGAAGTGATAGACCTGACTCCGGAAGCACTGCGGCTGGGCGCCAAATTTGAGTTCCTAGGCGCGAAGTTTAAATTTGCCCCGTCACCGCACACCACACTGTGATAGGTGGGTACAGGGAGAACGAGAACACGTCAGTTCCTATCCCCCCACCCCCCCGCGTTGAGCCCGAGATCTATAAAAGGTCTCGCGCCTGGCGTCCCCTCGCAGTTGCTCAGGAGCTCCCTTGGCATCAACCACCAGCTGGAGGTGAGCGACGATCGGCCACGCTAGAGGCGTTTGGAGCAGGTAGGCGGCTGGTGGGGCTTAAGTGGTTACTGAAGCGGGAACAGTCTTGAAGCTCACCCTAGTTGAGCGGGCTTAATTAAAATCAAGACCGCCACATGCCCTCACTATGAACCTTGGGACTGAGATTATGGCAGAATATTTTGCCGACTTCTACTTTTAAAAAAGGCTTTTAGGGGAAGCTATTTTAATTTTTTCTTAGCGATATTAACTCCACTGAAGTGAAGATGAGGAAGGGGGGTTGTGGAGATCCCATTGGGGGCATGAGGGAGAAGGGGCTTGGGGGAGGTGGTGTACGGTTGTAGGTGGGGGTCGCCTAGGCCTGAGCAGTGGAAGAACTGGCTGAGATTGCAGCGTAAGGGGAGGTGGAGGGCTGGTGAGGACGTGGGGGTGTTAGATGCCTGATCCCGGAAGGCTGGCGGGCGAATTGAGGTGGGAATGAGGGTGGAAATGTGGGCAAATGGAGGGTGGGTAGGAGTGCGTGCGGGGAGTGGGGGGTGCGGAGGGGGCTGTCTGATTCGCTAGCTGCAGTGAGAAGGTTGTAAGGGCCTGGTGAGTGGAGGTTTTGAGGCCGGATTGGCGTATGCCTGGTTGCGGGCAGGCTGGCTGGGGGGGCTGAGCTGGGAGGAGGTCTGGGCCTGTTGGTGTAAAACCTCTGGGATTGAGAGGGAGGAGGGGGAGTGAAGGGGGGGTGGGGGTGGTGAGTGGCATTTTCGAGGCCTGATTGGTGCAAGACTGGCTGGGGGCGGAGTCTGGGCCCCTTGGTCTAAGACTTTCTGGAGTTGGGGGAGATAGAGGCGGGTGGAGGTGGTGAGTGGAGGTGCAGAGATTGGTGCAAGACTGGCTGGCCACGGAAGTGTTGGGGGCGGAGTCTGAGCCTGTTGGCTCTAAGACCTCGTGGGGTTGGGGGAGGTGCAGGCGGGGGGGTGGGCGTGGCGAGTGGAGGTGTGGAGACCTCCTTGGTGCCAGACTGGCTGGGCGTGGATGTGTTGGGGGTGGGGTCTGGGCCTGTTGGGTCTGAGACCTCGTGGGGTGGGGGGAGGTGCAGGCAGGAGGGTGGGGGTGGAGAGTGGAGGTGTCGAGACCTGATTGGTGCAAGACTGGCTGGCCGCGGAAGTGTTGGGGGCGGGGTCTTGGCCTCTTGGTGTAAGGCCTCCTGGGGACCCGAGGGGGGAGTAGGGGGGTCCTGGCGGGGTAAGTGAAGGTTTTGAGGCTGTATTTATGCAAGATAGGCTGAGGCAGAAAACTAGCTTAGGGAGATAAAGGGATTGGGGGAGGTTGGAGAGCGGTTGGGGTTGGGGTGACCTGGTCCCATGTAAGACCATTGGTGCAGTGGGTACAGTAGAGGGATGGGGGGAGTAGAGGTTGGCTAATGGTATGTAGTGGGCTGGTTTGTGTAAGAGTGCCTGGGAATAGGAATAGAGAGGTGGAGGGATGGCAGAGTGGAGAGGGGTCAAAGCCAGATAGGTGGAAGACTCTGGGGCTTGAGGTGGGAGTAGGGAGAGTTCACGTGTGGGGAGAGTGGTGGGCCAGCGGGGATGGGGGTAGTGGGAATCCCTTTTGAGAGAAGATACTCATGGGCCAGGGGCTAAATGGGGATTAGTGCATTGTAAATCCTTACAATGGGGAGAAAATTTCTCTGGGGACTAATAAATGAATGGATTATCCTGGTGCATCGCTATAAGATGGCAGTTGAGGTTACTGCCATGTGCTTTGGGCTTTCTGATTGGTCTGCAGAGAACCTTGGCAGGGCATGGTGGGAGAGGGTGTTGCTCTAGTTTTCTCCAGCCAGGAAAAGCCTGCAACAAACATTTAAATACATCTCGTTTCACAGTGCAGAGCTTTGGCCTCAAATTAGGGTGAATAAGCTGCTCAAAGATAAATGCAGAATGTAGAAATGTTTGTTCCGGGGGCACCTGGGTAGCTCAGTCAGTTAAGCTACCGGCTGGATCTCAACTCAGGTCTTGATATCAGGGTTGTGAGTTCAAACCCCCATGTTGGGCTCTATGCTGGGCATGGGGCCTACAAAAAAAGAAAAGAAATGTTGGTTCTGAGTTTTGGTGTTTTTTAAAGAGTGTATTTTTGTTTTGACTGTAGACATGGACATGTCAGAAGAAGCAGCTGGCCAATCTAAGATCCAGGATGATGATTGGTGAGACTTGAAAAATTCTGTTTTCTCTTAGTTTAGTTATACTTGTGCTGGCCAGATGACTTTCTCAAAAATTGTATGTTTCTTTCAAGTGTGTGGAGTATATAACTTGGTTATAGAATGAATTGTAAAAAGGAACCTTAGAATCACATAGGAATCCAGCCTCTTAATCAATGCACGAATGCTGTTATATATATAACGTCTCTGTTAGTGCCCAGGAGCATAAAACTCCATGAAACAACATAGTACATTGTTGAATATGTGTAATTTCTAGAAAGTTCTTCATTCTAGTGAACTTAAAACTTGTCTTAGGAGCATCTATCCCATTGTTCACTGTGCTGCCCTCTAGAGGTACACAGATGAAGTGTTTATCTTCTCCATGATAAGGGGGTATTTTAAGATCGTTGTCTTAGGGGCGCCTGGGTGGCTCAGTGGGTTAAAGCCTCTGCCTTCGGCTCAGGTCATGATCCCAGGGTCCTGGGATCCAGCCCCGCATCTGACTCTCTGCTCAGCGGGGAGACTGCTTCCTCCTCCTCTCTGCCTGCCTCTCTGCCTACTTCTGATTTCTGTCTGTCAAATTAAAAAAAAAAAAATCGTTGTCTTATCTCTGAAGTCTTGCTCTCCAGGGACACTGCCCTGATTTCCTCCACAGATAAGCATGTAAGCCTATAATACGGGAGAAAGCAGAAACCATAGAACAGAGTCTGGAAATCGGCCCTAATACCCAAATATGAAAACTTAGTTCATGATAAAAAAATGACATTTCAAATCAGTGGGGAAAAGATGGATTCATCAACAAATAATTTGAAGATAATTGGCTAACCATTTGGGAAAAAATGAGAATTGGATTCTTCATCTCTCCTTACGACAAAATAAATTACACATGGGTAAAATATTTAAAAATAAAGGAAATCATTAAAAGTGTTAGAAAACAGGTGGATTTCATTTCCAATAATTTTGGAGTGGGGGAAGCCTCAGTTTGATATCAAACAGAAGTATAAAAATGACAAACTGGAAAAGTATTCACATTACCCATGATAAAATGCTGTTCTTCATCTACAAAGAACTTTTACAGGTCAACAATTAAAAAAAAGGTGAACACACATATGGAAAATGGGCCAAAGATATCAGAAGATAGTTCTTAGGGAAAAAAAATAATGTTGGCCCATAGACATTAAAATTTATTCACCTTAACTTTAATGAAAAAAAAATTTCATGAGATACTGTTTTTCATATATCAGGTTGGCAAAAATTAAAAAAATGGTAATAACTGGAGTTGGTGAATTTGTAGGAGAACAGGCAATTTCTTACAGTCATTGTGGGAATATAAATTGGTGCAACATTTTTGCAGGGCAATCTGGAAATATCCAAATTGTAAATGCCCATGTCCTTTGACCCAGTAATTACTAGGACTTTTTCTTTCCCTGTTAGAAGAATTTTATTTAATTTTTGTATGTGTATATATATATATATATTCACATACACCAAAGTGCATAAATGTGGTTATGTCATACATTCCTTTCTGTGTGTTTACATTTAGTTGCTCTTGACTCCTTTTCCCCTTCTCCCATGTCCCTTCTTCCTATAACTCATATTTATTTCATCATATGTAGACATGTACAGGCTGATACTTTGTCTTGGTTCAGTTCTGGGAAAGAAGGATGTATGATTGAATTACAAGTCCACAGAGAAATACACACAAGGATGTTTGTTGCAGGATTGTTTGTAATAGCACCAATTTGGAAAAAGTTTAAGTGACCTAAGGGTGTAGTTGAATGAATTATTGTTCGTCCAAAAAAATGGTAAGAAATGTATGTTCTGGTAACAGAAAGACTACTAAGGTACGTAAAGTGAAGAACTTCCAGTGACAGAACAATCTGTGTAGCATAATACTATTTATTTTAAAAGATGTGTGCACTTGATTTGTGCTGGTATGTGCTTATGTTTAAGAACTTTCTAGAAGAATAATAAGACACATTGTTTATTCCTGGTGAATGGGACTCTTGGAGGAACAGGGACAAAGTGTTCCTCTCCCTCACTCCTCTTTCCAGTGTTTTTTAATCACTCAGAAAGCTATCTGGTAAACATTATAACAGTTGATAGTCATTAAAACGGAAGGGGGGATTAGCAAAAGAATGCAGCAAATAAACATTGGAAAATACACATCGTAAGTAATAAAAAGAAATGAAAATTTTAATGTTATTTACCTACTAAATTAGTAAATGAGAAAAAGTTATCCTATTATAGTAATGCTCCTGAACCATGCACTGATCTAACCCTTTGCAAATGATTAAGCAAATATACCAAGAGTCATAAAATTGGTCATGTTTTTGATGACTTTGACGTTTGGGAATCAGCTTTATAAATCCACTTTATAAAAGTAATTAAATGGACAAAGATACTTGTTGCAGGATTCAGCTGAAAAATTAATGTGCGTTTTCAAAAATGCACAGTGTAAAATTCTCAGCTCTCCCGCTGACTCTCATTCTCTTGCCCCAAATAATGCCCTGGGCGGGTGGTTGGCATTAGTTCTCCTGAGAAGTAAACAGGCAGTCTGCATTATCAGTTCTCCCCTTGCAAAGCTGGTTAACAGGAGTCTTTCCTCTAGCATTTGATGAAGAATTGAGAGACCCAAGTTCTGGAAACCACAGCTGGGAAGACCAGATCCTGGAGTTCTAGGTGGAGGTGGCCCTTGAGGCTGGATATTGACTGGCCAGTCTCCCCACCCACCCTCGCTGCAAGTCGGGACCACTATGTCTCAGGACCTGGGCACTGTGTTTTCATTAATGCAAATGACTGTTTTTTTGTGTGTGTGTTTGTTTTTTCTTTGGGCTCACTCAGTACCTCACATAACTTTCATGTAAGGTTCGTGTAAATGGCATGTGTAATTAATTTTTTAAATGGAGAACCTTATTGGTGAGATCTTTCAGGCCAAGTCTTTTTTTTTTTTTTTTCAGGCCAAGTCTTTTAAAAATAAGGTTCTATGGGGCTGTGGGTGGGAGGATGGAAAATAATAAAAGGGACCCTTTTTGAGATTCATTCATTCTTTTATTCAGCCCGACAGTTGAGTACTGACTTCCGAATCCTTGTATAAGTTTTACTGTGTGGGATGGGAGATAGAAACATGTAAAGAAGCAATTACGGTATAGTGTGATAAATGCCGCGATGTGGGAGAGGTATGTGATCCTGTAGGAGGGCAGACATTATCTTACTTAATTTTCATAGTAGCCGTATGAGGTAAGTGGTTCTTTTTTTAAAAAATCTATCTATTTTAGAGAGAGAGAGTGGGGGAAAAGGGGCAGAGGGAGAGGAAGAGAGAAAGAATCTCAAGCAGACTCCTCACTGAGTGTAGACACTGGCGGGGGCTTGATCTCACGACCTGGAGATCATGACCTGAGCTGAAATCAAGAGTCCAGTGCTTCACTGCCTGCACCACTCAGACACCCCAAAATGAGTGGTGTGTGTGTGTGTGTGTGTGTGTTTTACAACTGAGGCCCAGGAACTTATTTACAGAAGTCTAGGTGAGAGGCAATGGTGGCATAGAATAAGGTGGTAATAGTAAAGTTGTAAGATTTTATTTATTTATTTGACAGAGACAGATCTCAAGTAGGCAGAGAGGCAGGCAGAGAGAGCGGGGAAGCAGGCTCCCAGCTGAGCAGAGAGCCTGATGTGGAGCTCGATCCCAGGACCCTGAGATCTGAGACCCCAATTCTGAGACTTTTTTCCCCACAGTTTTGAAATTGGGATCCATTATACATTTGATAGTTTGTCATCATTTGGTAGTGTTTTTTTTTCTTTCTTAGTGGTACTTGTGCTTAGACAAGATGAAATGTATTACAGGGGCACCTGGGAGGCTCAGTCATTAAGCGTCTGCCTTCGGCTCAGGTCATGATCCCAGGGTACTGGGATCGAGCTCTGCGTCGGTCCTTCTGCTTGGCGGGAAACCTTCTTCTCCCTCTCCCACTCCCCCTGCTTGTGTTCCCTCTCTTGCTGTCTCTCTCTGTGTCAAATAAATAAATGAAAATCTTTAAAAAAATAAAAGAAACGTATTCTAGAAGTAGAGCCAGCAAATCTTGCTGATGGATTGGATGTGTGATCAGGAGAGGAATTAAGGATGACCCCTAAGTTTTTGGTCTGTGTTACTGGGCAGATGGTTGTGCCATTGACCGAGATTGGTCAGTCTCCTATAGGAACAGGATTGAGGGAAGAAATCGAGAATAATATACTGGCTATGTGACGTTTCAAATGCGTATTAAATGTCCAAGAGGTCACTCAGACAGTTGGAGCTCAGTGGAGAGTTGGAGGCTGGAAATATAAAATTGGGGGATGTGGGGTCTTAGGACAGTGGAACAAATGATCCAGGATAGAGGGGACCGTAGTGCAACACAGAATGGAAAATTGGAGGAATAAAATCCTTGAGAAGGCGGGAGGGGGATGAGATCCAAAGTGTAGGGGAGGGTTTGGCCGGAGACGGTGGTGCGAACACTGTGTTCATTGTTAACTATAAAGAAATAAGAGGATCGGGGGTAGTTGCTGATAGGATGGTAGATTTGCTGGTGGGAGGATGAAGCAGTTCCTGTCTGATGGCTTTATTTTCCCAGTGACTTAGGAGACAAGGTCATTAACAGAGTGAAAGAGGTTTCCACAGTTTGAAGGCGGAAGGACTCCTGAAATACATAATGCGAGGGGCGGAGGACTGGTTTCTCACTGATCAACCAAAGTCCAATTAGTAGTTCTGGTGGCCTGGCCACTGACTAGTCTTTTTTTAACCTAAGATACTTTGTTTTTTTTTGTTTTTGTTTTTGTTTTTGTTTTTGTTTTTTAATACTACAAGATGGAGAAGCAGAAATACTGTATTTTAAAAATTACCAGGGCACCTGGGAGGCTCGGTCAGTTGAGCCTCCAACTCTTTCAGCTCAGGTCATGATCTCGGGGTCCTGGGATCGAGCCCCACTTCAGGCTCTGTGCTCAGCATGGAGTCTGCTTAAGATTCTCTTCTCCCTCTAACCCCTCTGCCCCATTCGCACGTACTCTCAAATAAATTAAAAAAAATCTTGGGGCGCCTGGGTGGCTCAGTGGGTTAAAGCTTCTGCCTTCGGCTCAGGTCATGATCCCCAGGTCCTGGGATCGAGCCTCGCATCAGGCTCTCTGCTTGGCAGGGAGCCTGCTTCCTCCTCTCTCTCTCTCTCTGCCTACTTGTGATCTCTGTCAAATAAATATATAAAATCTTTAAAAAAAAATCTTTTTAAGAAAAGAGAACCAGGGTCACGTTTTGACCCATACCTGGGAAACCTTACACCTGGCAAGAGTTTTTTTTTTTTTTTTTTTCCGATTTAAAAAAAAAAAAGTTGACTCTGAAACCAATAATACGGTATATGTTAATTGAATTTAAATTACAAACATGGAAAAAAAATTTGAGGTCTACTCCTGAGTAAGTCCAGTGTACAGTGACAGATACATGAGCAGGAAAATGAACCAAGGGGGGTGAGCCAGCATGTATCTTGAAAAACAGAAAAAAATATTTTCAATGCAATATTATAACCCAATATAAAAATATTATCCGTCCAATATATTGCTAATCTGATAACCAATCTCAAGGTTAAAATGAACACCATCAAGAAATGCCGAAGGTTAACTTGATGGAACTATAGGTCCACCTTTAGTGCTTTTTGGTTTCCTCTTTGAGCTCTGTGTCACACTAACTAAGATAACCTGTGATTAGGTCCTATGGGGGGGGCAAAGAAGCAAGGGGCCCCAGCATCACTGTTCATTGCAGGGAGCAGCCGCAGCTGGGGCAATCCCCCTTCGTTTGCCCCCCAAGAAATGGATTTCAGCATTTGCCGATGTCCCAGCTAGACCACAGTCCCAGTATGTAGGCCCTCTTTTTTTTTTTTTTAAAGACTTATTTATTTGACAGAGAGATCACAAGTAGGCAGAGCAGCAGGCTCTTCCTGCTGGGGGGGTGGGGGGATCAGGCTCAGCAGAGAGCCTGATGTGTGGGGCTCGATCCCAGCATCCTGAGATCATGACCTGAGCTGAAGGCAGAGGCTTAAGCCACTGAGCCACTCAGACGCCCCCGTAGGCCCTCTTCAAACCAGTAAAGCCCTACAAGGTGTCCTCCTCCCTCTTTGGTCCTTTTGATTTTTACCTGTAATCTCTTCATCCTTGGGTCTTTTCATGGGTGGCCCTTGTCTCAGAAATCACTTTCATATCTTTCTTTTCCTCTTTTTCTTAGATTTACTTAGTTATTTTAGAGACAGAGAGAGTGGGTGTGGGGAGAGGGAGAGTGAATCCTCAAGCAGACTCCCCTCTGAGTGTGGCGACCGCCTTGGGCTCAATCTCACAACCCTGAGATCATGACCTGAGCCGAAACCAAGAGTTGGATGCTTAACGGACTGAGCCACCTGGGAGCCCCCCCACTTTCATGTCTTTACATAGAAATAGATCACTTGGCAGAAAACAGGCTTCTTGCTGGTAGCTGATGATACTCAATGAACATCCTTCCCCTATTTTCGATTCTGCTGTAGACTGAGCAACTTGTTGCTCCTAATTTTTCTTCACCTCCCCTGCTGTGATCTTAATTTCCCAACTCCCTAAAACTTTTCACACATGTCAGAAACTCTGGTGGGTGGTTCTCTCCATGCGAGATCCTCTGCTCATGGACTTGCGAACGATGTTCATTGGCCTTCCTTTATACCAATGCGTATCTCATTTTTCACAGTTGCATTCTTACTGTGGACTCAAGCAGTGATGAAGAGTTTGAGCCCTGTAAGTAGCATCGCTTCAAAGTGGTAATTTCCGTTTCAAGGCGTAACTTAACCCTGTCTTTGTGAAGATCACTGAAATGTGGTTTGGGACATTTGGTGTGAGCTGGTCCAGGGTCTATCTCCTCTAGGGTCTCTCTCCACATTGGTGAGATGAAGGTCATTTCCCTGCTATTAGGAGCAGAGGCAGTTCTTTGGGCTTGGTTTGCCACCTTGATCTTTTTCATTCTAGGTATCCTGACTTTTATTTCCTCTCTAGCTCACATAGGGTGGGGGGATATAAGCCTCCCATCGATTTTGACCAGCCCTAACTTCTGGACGTAGGCTTTAGGGAGTTAAAGATGTGGGTAACTAGGCTTGTATCCTCCTTCAGATGCTTCCTGACACACTCTTTCCTTCTCTGATTTAGTTGGAACCAAAAAGAAGGAGCAGAAAAGGAACTTTAGGTGAGTAGGAAAATTAGCGACATTTGACATTTGTTGAGGAATGATGTTGTGTGTAAGGAGATTGACAAATAAACAACACATTTCCTCCCTGAGCACTATGTTCAGGGTCATAGTAGGTATCTGATCTCACAGCCGGGTTCAGAGTATTAGATCTTTTTGCCAGGCCTGTTATCTAATTGGTCACTTTCTTATTCGGAATGTCTTTGTGATCGATTTGTCCTCTAATTTCCACTCTCTACTCCTCAGGCCCTTATGGGCCCATGTGCCAGACTGTAGGAGGTGCTAAGAAAATTTACAGGAATAAATCCAAAATAGGATGCTAGGTAACTGATGTTTCCACATTGACTCCTCGAATTACCATAGCAGGTGTGTTGAAACATGATTTACATAATGGCAAAATTCACCGTTTGAGGTGTACAGTTCAGTGAAATTTGACAAATTTGACAAATGTATATGGTAGTGTAAACATTACTACAATCACAGGAGATGCAGGATCTTTTCATCACTGCCATTTACATTTTATTTTATTCTTTAATTTTGAAATTTCTGTGTTTTGACAATATTTTTATATTTATTTATATATTTATTTGTGAGTAAAGCAATAGAAGTTTATTAAGTGAAGATAGAAAAAGCTCTCAAGAATGAGAGGGGTCCCAACAGGGTTGCCCTATTTTTTTTATTTTTTATTTTTATCTTTCTGAAGACTTTTTTTTAAATGTTTGTTTGTTTTGTTTTTAAATAACCTCTACACACAGCATGGGGCTCGAACTTTGAACCCCAAGATCAAGAGTCGCTCGCTCCTCCGACTGAGCCAGTCAGGCACCCCCTACAGTATTTTTGTTTGTAATTGTAAAAATTTTAAATTTTAATTCCAATATAGTTAACGTGCAGTGTACTATTAGTTTCAGGTGTATGATAAAGTGATTCAGCACTTCTGTCCATCATCTGGTGCTCATCACGGTCATCATTTAGGTTTCAGATGCTTTATTGTAGTTTCTTTGTGGCTTCCAGTATTATACATAATAAAGTCCTTACTTGATAATACATTTAAATGTCCAATTTTTAAATAGAAAAATTGGTTTCTTCCTGCCTCCAAGGGATAGATGTTGAACAAATACATAGAGAAAATCTGTTTTAATGGGCCTGCTGGGAATGCCCACAGCTCTTGGTCTAGTCCCTGGAGGCTACTATAAGTTGGATATTGGAGGAAGGGTGAAACTGGGGAAGGAGGGGGCTTTCCGCTTCTCAGTTTTCCTTGAACTGAGTTCAGTTTTGGGCCTGTGTAAATGGAGGGGCCTGTAGGCAGGGCCGATCCTCAAAACGTTTAACGACTGGTTGAGTACAGACAGGGATCAGTCAGGATGACTGGCAGACCCGTCAGAGCAGACGCCGTCAATAAACGCTGGGCAGGGCTATTCCTGCACGTGTGAACCGCAAGTCAGCCCTACCCACGGGATACCAGGTAGGAAGTTAGAATTGTGGAGCTGGAAGTCAGGCACACAGTTGGCCTGGATATAATGGCTTGCGTTGGCAGATAGGTGACGTCCACGCAGTCCTTTGGAATTGATTAGCTTGGTGCGAAGGCACTGTGGAGAAAGCCTGGGAGTGAGCTGAGGAAGAGAGGTTAGTGAGAAGGAGTGGATAGAGGGGCAGGAAGAGAACCAAAACAGAACAGTAGCTTGGAAATCCCAAAAAGAGTTTTAAGGAGGGAGTGACCAACGGGAAAGCCAAGGCCCCTCAACCTGGCAGCTTAAATGTGAATATGGTAGAAGTGGATTAGTGGATTTGTGACTGTAACAGGTAAAGATAAAGGAAAATGTCCACTAACTGATAAAAATTAACATTTGCCTAGTCCGTTTTTGCCCTGCACCAGAACTGTTGGCATACATGCCTTTGGACAGCCCATTTCACTCAGTACTTGACAGATAGCTCCTTTCGCAAGGATAGAGCCAGATTTAGTGATTTGGTTGAAAGATGGAAAATCGGGAATAATGATTGAGTAGTTCTGAAGAAGGGGAATGGCAATAGAACATTTTCAGGTGCTCGTGTCCATGGTGGAGGAGTTAGGAAAGGCCGTGAAAAGAAGACCGTAGTGCTGACGTTTCACTGTTGTTTTTCCCTGTCTCCTCACTCAGCTATGTGGTGATTGACTCTGACTCTGAAGACGAATACTTCAGTGATAAGGTCAGAGCTCACATATCTGACATCAGCAGCGAAGGCAAGTATACTCGTAACGGAGGGAAGTAGCTGAGATCGGCATCCCCATCACACAGTGGTTTTAGGGTACACATCAGGATATGCGTCAGCAAACGTTCGATTCTGGCACCCACTTAGTAGCAGGTGCCACCATTTCTTCCCTCGTGGGTGCTGGATGTGGATATGGATAGATTCCCTACACACACCTCCTCCCTGGTGAATTTCCAAACGCAGCAGCAACTGTTCTAGGCACTTTAGCTCTTGGTCATCCCCTTCCATAGAGTTCTGGCCACCTATATACAGGGTTCCCCTCCTACCTATATATAGGGACCAGGGCTGGGGAAGAAAGGAGCTGACACTAGGAAGGTATGAAGGCTGCTCAGCAACCCTCCCCACTCTACCCCCGCACCCATCCCCACCATTTTTTTCATCCTCTGTGTGTGGGAATGACAGAGAGAGGGAAGGTGAGAGGTGTGGGCTCATTCTTTTCAGCTGGGGAGAGACTTAGCTAGATGATGGTGCTGAGTCAGCCCACCGTGACTTCTCGGGGGAACCCTTGCTTTCTCCAGCTAGCTCTTTGTCTTTGCCTCTCCCCATTCTGCGTATATTTTCTGGAGATTTCTGTCCTTCTTGGAGCCTGTTTCCCACAGCAGTTCTTTGCCCCTTTGGTTTCAGAGGCTCTTTTAAAAACCTTTCCAGAGGCAGGGAGCCGTATTCGCAGTTTGGAACCTATTCAGTAGGGGGGTGAAAAGTAGGAAGATGAGGAGCTTTTTCTTTTTAATTTTAGATTTTATTTATTTACTTAATTATCTGAGAGAGCAGGGGAGGAGCAGAGGGAGAGAGGCAAGCAGACTTCTCGCTGAGTGTGGAGCCTGATGTGGGGCTCGATCTCACAACCCCCGAGATGTTGACCTGAGTCGAAATTAAGAGTAAGATGCTTAACAGACTGAGCCACCCCGGTGCCCCAAGACTAGGAGCCTCTTTGGCCTTAGGGATGGTACTTTATTGATCTTTGTTCACTTCTGACAAAGATAGGGCATGACCCATAGGCCTCTCCTTAAGGTACCTGCACCCTTAAAGTGCTGGCTGTTTCTTTGGTAACTACCAAAGAGCTACCATTGGCCAGAGTTTCCTGGCTAACCTGTGTTATCAGAGCAGGGAAAGGAGAGGTGGCTTGGAACCCTAGTCTGCTACTGTTCTGCTAGCTGTCCCCTCTCAATGATTTTTCCTGTGGTTTTTGTCTTTCTCTGACTGACTTGTTTTCACTTAGCATGATACACTCTAGCTCCATCCACGTCAAAGAACAGTATGGAGGTTCCTCAAAAAGTTAAAAATAGGGGTGCCTGGGTGGCTCAGTTGGTTGAGAGGCTGCCTTTGGCTCAGGTCATGATCCTGGGGCCCCAGGATCGAGTCCTGTATCGGGCTCCCAGCTCCATGGGGAACCTGCTTATGTTCTCTGTCAATCTCTCTCTCTGATAAATAAAATCTTAAAAAAAAAAAGTTAAAAATAGACCAACCCCACAATCCAGCAATTGCACTCCTAGGTATTTACCAAAGGATAGAAAAATACAGATTCGAGGGGCTGCATGCACCCCAATGTTTGTCGTAGCACACTCAACAACCAGATAACAGATTCTTAACTGTGATTCTGAACGTCCCCGTTTCCAGCTTGCTTCATTTGTGCTCGATAATCTGAAGTTGAGTGTGTGGGGTGGGCAGAGGGAGTATATGAATATGTGACCGTGTCTCGTGAATTTCAGATGAGATTCTGGATGTGTTATCAGACACCGAGGAGCAGCCAATAGTTATTACTGATGATGACAGTGATTTTGAGGGCCCTGTGCTCATAATAGACGAGGATTCGTATGATCAGGGCCAAACTGCCTCAGAGGAAAAAGAGATGGAGGTCTTCAGTGTCTCCCAAAGCGGTTCCTCTAATGATGCTGGGGAGCTGAATCATGGTGAAAATCTGGGCCAGCCACCACGCGGTGCCGAAGCCGAGGTAGAGATTACAGATGACAAGCCCGCACCTGTGGTGGAGCAGCCACGGAAGAGGAAGAGTAAGACCAAGAATATATGTGTGACACCCGGTAAGCCAGTTACCTCAAGGGCACCCAACCTCCCGAATCCGCCCTGCTCTCCTCTCTCCCTGTGCACCAGCCAGGCCTGCTTTGCCCTTGAGAGGTCTGTCCTGCCTACTGACCTTAGGCCTTTCAGCAGCTTCCTGGTGGCTAAGGGAGATAGCCATCCCAGGCAAAAAGATCTTTCTGGAAGTGGGAGAGGAAAAACTGTGTCTTAGGAGCTGTCGTTCCCTCGATCTGGCACGCTTTCTCTCTGTGCTTTTCATCCTAAGGAGATGCCATTTTTCTTGGGACCCAGCCCAATTGTCAGTTCCTGTAGGGAGCCGGACATCAGAGAGGCTCCTCCCTCCTGGGTTCCCAAAGTTCTCAGAGCCTGTCCCTGCTAAAGCACTTACCCAGCTGTCTTATGATGTGTTTCTGAATCTGTCCCCCGCCCCCCAGTGGACGATGAGCCTCTGGGTGGGAGGACTCTTCAGTTTCAAGTCTCTCCCAGGGTCTAGCTTGGTATTCGGCACATAGTTGATGTTTAATACTTTTTTTCAGTGAACGAATGAATGACACCGCTGTTACAGAAGTCTCTGGCTAGAGCAGTCAGCAGTAAATGGGGGCTAACCAAAGACACACAGGTTGGGCTTGTATGCTGAGTGAAGGTCTACGCTAGAATCTGAGATGCTTCCTTGTATTGTTTTTTTTTTTAAGATTTTATTTGAGAAGAGAGAAAGGGACAGGAACAGGGGCAGAGGGAGAAGCAGGCTCCCCGCCAAGCAGGGAGCCAGATGAGGGGTTCGATCTGAGCACCTGAGATCATGACCTGAGCCCAAGGCAGACGCTTAACTGGCTGAGCCACCCAGGCGCCCCTGAGCCACATCCTTAGGGCAAGTGCATGAGATGTGCCACACTGTTCCTTATGCCGCCTGTGCCTCAGTTGCCCACACAATCTGACCTCTAGCGGCAGGCTCACATCACCTCATTATATAGTCCTTGTACCTATGAGAGCCTTGTACCCAGCTTACTCTGCTGACAGCTCTGGGATTGACTCAGGGAGACTTTGTCACCAACTGATGGAGAGTATGCAGGCTTCAGACCTTTTCTAGATGGTGCTCTGCGTGTGGCTGTGGGGGCTGCTCCTGGGTGCACCTTTCTTCCAGTTCTGGATGGGCCCAGCTTTCAGGGTACAGATGAGCTATTATCTTTACAGCTGTGAGACTCTCCAAAAGACGTGCGCCTACAAAGAAGAAGCCCGGTGCAGGGAAAATTGAAAAACGCACGCCTGGGTACGTACTATTCTTGTTCAGCTGCGTGGGAATTAATGGTACCGTTGTCCCGTCTGTGTGAAGTGGTCCACCGCACCTGTGGGAGGGTCTTCCAGGGGATGGAGGAGTCTGGTTGGGAAGGGGACAAGGCTTCCTTCCCTGAATTGGGGGGGCATAAATTGGGAAGAGGAGGGAGGAGAGGAGGAGGAGACACTGCACTGCTCCCCACCTCTTTTTGTCCCCAGCAGAGCCCTGCACGGGCACCCCACCACAATTCCTGTGCTCCCCTGGGTGGGTCCAGAGCCCTTTGGCCCCCACATCGGTGCTGGCCTTTCCTCGGTCCTTAAACTCAGGTCAAAAACTCATGTGTAGCCAAACATGAGACTTTTCTTCAGACTACGTACTGCCTTGTTGCCACCAGTGGGCACTAAACCAAAGCAGTCACAGGGGAGATGGCGGGAAGGCAGAGTGGACATGTCCCCATTCATTGGAATTGGGAGGGGGCAGTCAAGATTGCCTTTCGGGTTTTCACGGTGCTTTGGCTGCCTCCAGTTACTCCTACAGCTTGTCGATGTTCTTGAACATTTCGAAAGCTTAAACATCAGGGTGAAACTAGATGGCTCATGGTGCCTTTATTTTTATTAGGCTGTGTGGAATTGGTCCTGAGAACAGCAGGTCACTTAGACCAAAGACATGTCAATACTTTAAAGGAAGCAAAAAAACTGACACTTTTTTTTTTTCATTCAGATTGCAGGACGTTTTCACCTTTCCCCTTAAAAAGACGGTGTAGTAGGCATAATTTTCTTCGTTCTTCCTCGTGTTCAGGAGTCATACATACTTACATCCGAACTATCTTACAAGACAAGAAATGTGTTTGAAGGACTGTCTGCTTGTTTGGTTTTGGTTTTGTTTATACCTGGATTTTGAAGCAATAAATGCATCTTTTTTTTAAAAGGTTTTATTTATTATTTGACAGGGAGAGACACAGTGAGAGAGGGAAAAAAAGCAGGGGGAGTGGGAGAGAGAGAAGCAGGCTTCCTGCTGAGCAGGGAGCCTGATGCAGGGCTCGACCCCAGGACCCTGGGATCATGACCTGAGCCGAAGGCAAACGCTTAATGACTGAGCCACCCAGACGCCCCACAATAAATGCATCTTACGGGGAGAAGAAGAACGACATGACAGGCACGGGCACAGCAGGGCCACTTGAACCTAAGCTGAGAGGCGCTCTCTGCTTCTGCACTTGTCGCTCAGAGAAGCAGCTCTCGTCGTTTGGCATGTTCTCTCACGGGTGGATCTGTGGCCAGCCAAGGATCTTCTCTGGGTTCCTAGATAACAGCCATGAGCTGCCTTTGCTTCCAGGCACCCATGTCTTGGGCAGCTCCCAGATTGCTTTGCTGTGGTGTGACAGAAGGAGGCTGCCCCTGGGCGGCGGCGTCCTCCGCATCAGCCCAAGGAGACTAGTGTGTTTGGACTCCTCACGGTTGCCTTGGTGCTTCCTGTGGTAGTCTGCGGGCTTCCTGTTGTGCCTCGCCTTGTTCCTGTACAGGCTGCTCACGGGTCATGGCGTCTGATGTACCCATTTGGGGTCTTGCTGGTTCCTCTGATGTGGAGGTATTCTGCCTGCAAGTGAAGTGGCAGAGGCATTGAGGGGAAGGTGGGCCAAGCCACAAGGCCTGCTTGACATAGGTGCCAATGGCGGGGGGGGGTCCCCCCTTCTCTGCTGAGGTCTGCAGATGGTTTGGGTTTTTATCTGCTACCTTTTTGGATGCAAATTTGCTTTCAGTACAAGGTAATTTGAGGCAGACCATGTTCGTCACCAGTCTCGGGCTCTGGGGGATGAGGACCCTGACTTGAGCTGCCTTGGCCTGGTTTTGTTCTGATTTCCTCTCTCCACCCCAGCCCCCTCCCAGAAGGCTTCTTTTGTGACTTCAGGATTCATGAGTGTCCCGGCAAAATCCCCGTCTCAGGAGTTCCGTTAAGTCAGAGACTCAGCTTACGTGTGTTTGCTCCTGTTTTCATCTGTGCCGCTCAGTGGGCTCATCTCTTGGGACCTGTGGGCGGTTGTGGCCAGGATTAAAGGGTGAAATGAATTGTTATTACAAGTGTGAGTCCTCCATGTGCTTAGCACTATTCTTTGTGCAGTGCAATTAGACCTCAAAAGATGGGGCGGCAGTAGGGGTCTAATGGGAAAGACCCCAAGATTTGGGTCCAAAGATCCAGGGTCTCTGTGAACTTTGGGGAAGTCACCTGACCTCGGACCTTTGGTTTCTTGTCCGCCAAGTAGAGATCATGAGAATAGCAATCGCTTCTTTGGAGGGTGTTGGTGAGGATTAAATAAGATAAGGCAACAAGAAGTTCTCTGCAAAGGAGAAAACACTACATGGATGGGGGTTCTCAGGAGAGCTGGAGACGTGGTCATTCTAGGGCTCAGGGGTGAATCGGTTGTGCCCAGACATGAACAGACTGCGGGAAATCACAGTTCCTGTCCAGAGAACATTTAACTTGCCCACCTTGGCCACAGTGGAAATAGTAGCTGGAGACAGAGGTTGGGGTCTGATTGACCTGGGCCTTGAATGGCCAGGCTACACAGTCATGGCAAGCTGGGGAGGGACGGAATAGTGTGTGTGTGGGGGGTTGGGGTGGAGGAAGAAAGAAAGAAAAAGGGCCTGGAGGGGAGGAACACAGAGGAACACTGTAGCAGCAAGGCCCAGAGGGGAGAGGAACTTGAACTAGGCTGGCGACCGTGGGGTGCAAAGGAGGTCTGGCTGGAAGAGATGAGAAGGAGATTGTGGTTTTTGAGCTTATTTGAATATGGGGCAAGGATAAAAATGGATTTTAAGATGTCTCTGAGGTTTTCAGCCTGGTGTAACAGAAGTCCGCTAACAAAACACACCAAGCAGGGGACGTACTCAGGTTAATCAGTTGGCGGTACACCTGGGGACCTTGTCAACTTGGAACTGGATCCCCCAGGAGAGAGCTCGAGACTGCGGATACAGGAGTGGGATCACTCCTGCTGAGGTTGAAGCCACAGGCTTCACATCTCTGAGAATGCAAATAGTGAAAAGAAAAAGGCTATGCGTGGAACTTTGGGGACTGCTCTCCTACAAGGAGCTGGAAGGACGAGGAACTGGCACCTTTTCTGAGTCTCTGTGGATATGACCCGCATGTGCGCACTTCTCTCATTTCTTCCTCCAGCTGTACATAACTCAGTTGAACTTAACCTTCGCAGGAAAGCGACATGCAAAATACCTGGATGTTTCCTGCGTGACCTGGAAAACGCGAAGCAGTATTCTGGAAGGAAATTCAAGCAAAATAAGGATAGCCTGGTTCAGAAAATCTACACCCTGTTTAACAGCTCGGTGTTTAATAAAAAGGTATTGACGAATGAGCGCTAGATGAGCACCTGCTGGACACCTGGCGCTCTCGGGAGCTGTGAGGTGTGTGGATGTGTTAGCTGTGTATTTCCGGCTCTGGAGAAGTGTCAGCTTACAAGGAGAGATGATGCAGTTGTAGGTGAAAGAAATCACACGGGTTTGTGGCTAATCATCTATGGGTAGACTGTTACCAGCACAGGAGATCAGCAGAGGCAGAAAAATCACTGAGAGCCCCAACTGGTCAGGAAATAAGGTTGCCTGCAGGAAGTAAGACTTCTGGTTCTTGAGGGATGGTAGGCAGAGAGAGCAGCAGTTGTGTGTGGGGAGTGGAGAGGGCGTATGCTGATCCTTGAGTATCTGGAAAGAGAGGCTTTATGTTGAAGGATAATGGGAAGGAGCTCTGTGAGCCTGGGCAAGTTACTTATCCCCTCTTTGCCTCAGTGTCCTCATCTGTAAGATGGGAACGATAATAGTACCTGCTACTTCATAGAATTATTGTTCTTTTTTAAAGATATTATTTGTCAGAGAGAGAGCTCATGAGCAGGGGGAGGAGGGGTACAGGGAGAGGGAGAAGCAGACTCCCCTGCTGAGCAGGGAGCCTGATGCAGGGCTCAATCCCAGGACCCTGGGATCATGACCCAAGGTGAAGGCAGACACGTAATTGATGGAGCCCCCCAGGTGCCCCCACAGAACTATTGTTAGGCCTAGGGAAGGTAATACTCCTTAAGTGTCTAGAACAGAGCCTCAGCGGTTGTTAGGATTTTCAGACTTTCATTATTTCTGCTGACACAACCAGGTTCCCCAGCTTTTGGGGAAGTCACTCCTCATGACAGTGGTGTCACATCACATGGCTGATGAGGGGACTGAGGTGCATGTGCAGTTTCATCTCTGCATTCTTATGCTGGGGGGGGGAGAGGGCTCCATTTCCTGCCTCAGCGGGGTTTGCCCTTCTCTCCTTGGCTGCCCCTGACCTGTGTCCCCATGTGGGGCAGCTCAAGTCCTGTGTGCGTGTACCCTCAGCCATCTCCCTTGTGTCCTGATGGCTTGTGCGTCATTTTCACCTGGGCTTCAGCCTGGCTTTTACTCTCCCCAGAATGTTTATTTTTATTTTTTTTTAAGATTTTATTTATTTATTTGACAGACAGAGATCACAAGTAGGCAGAGAGGCAGGCAGAGAGAGAGAGGTGGAAGCAGGCTCCCCGCGGAGCAGACAGCCCGATGTGGGGCTCGATCCCAGGACACTGGGATCATGACCTGAGTTGAAGGCAGAGGCTTTAACCCACTGAGCCACCCAGGCGCCCCTCCCCAGAATGTTTAGATGTGCAGAACTTTCTTTCTTTCTTTTTTAAGATTTTATTTATTTATTTCAGAGAGAGATCACAAGCAGGGGGAGGGAGTGGAGGCAGAGAGAGAAGCAGGCTCTCCATGGGGAGTTGGAACGCGGGGCTCGATTCCAGGACCCCGGGATCATGACCTGAGCCGAAGGCAAATGCTTAACCCACTGAGCCACCCAGGCGCTCCCCTTGCAGGGCTCTTGAGTGAATAGTCTTTGGTCTGCTTGAAACTGCTTGCTGACTCACTTTGCTTGCTGTTTTGTTCTCAGCTACCAGAGAAAATTGATATTGGCTGGAATAAAAAGATGCTGAGGACCGCTGGCTTATGCACCACGGGTGAGACCCGTTACCCTAAGAAGCAGCGTTACGCGAAGATCGAGATTTCCCTGAAAGTCTGCGACTCCGCAGGTGACAGGCAGCTTTCTGGCTGCGCCCTTTCCTTATGTAGCGACTCTTACATACTGGTGTTTCCTGACAGCCTGTGCCACAGCTTTACCTGTCCTTCCTGGGTAGCTGGGCCTACTGCGCCTTGCTCTGGGGGCATTAACTTCTTATTTTTAGAATTTTCAGGAAAGATTTATTCATTTATTTTAGAGAGAGTGATTTATTTATTTTAGAGAGAGAGAGAGAGAGAGAGCATGAGCAGGGCGAGAGGGAGAGAGAGAATCTGAAGCAGACCATGCTGAGCACAGAGCCTGACATGGGGCTCGGTCCTACTACACTGAGATCGAGATCTGAGCCAAAATCAAGCGATGGACTGTGCCACCCAGGTGCCTCTGCTCAGAGGACACGATTATCGGCTTGGCTGTCTTTCGATTAGGCTAACTGTCTCTCTGCAGGTAGCTCCCCTGTTGCCAGCAGCGGTGTCTCTATTCACCCAGTAACTAAGGTTCAAGGTCTCACCCCCATAGCTAGCCAATCACCAGATCTTCAAAATGACCCTTCTATCCTCGTTCCTTTGCCTCTGCCCAGGTGTGGGGCCCTGTCACCTCATTCTTCATCTCGCTCCTTTCAGTTTCCAGCACACCACCATGTCACTTTCCTACTAAGCCACCTGGGGCTCGTGTGTGGCAGGGTTGAGGGTCTCAGGTGGTTGGGGGCAGACTGGAGGGCAGTGGTTCAGGTGCTCATGACTTCTTTCCATCCCTCTCCCAAGACCGTCTCCGGGACACTTTGATCCATGAGATATGCCACGCAGCCTCCTGGTTGCTTGACGGCATCCGTGACTCTCATGGGGACGCATGGAAGTATTATGCCAAGAAATCGAACATGGTGCACCCGGAGCTGCCCATGGTCACCCGCTGCCATAACTATAAGATTAACTACAGGATCCATTATGAATGTACTCGGTGCAAAACCAGGTAAGACCCTCCGCCTCAGACTTCTCTTCGGTTACGTTTCTGCTGTGGCCTCCAGCTAACTGGCCCTTCGTGGTTTCGTTAGTAAGCCCATGGCTGGCCTGCCTGTGGAGTAAACCTCTGCTCCTCTCTGCGTCTTCTTTCTCCATGCTCTGCTACTTGGAGCTGGCCTGAGAGCCTTGCTTTGGGCCCCCAGCCAGCAGCTCCGAGAACACGCTGAGTTCCGCTGGCTGATCAGTTTGCTGTGTGGTGTCTCTTTCCTCATTAGGGTCGGCCGCTATACCAGATCCTTGAACACCGATCGCTTTATCTGTGCCCAGTGCAAGGGGCCTCTGGTCATGTTGCCGCTAACTCGCAAGGATGGAACCCCCATTGCGCCCCATGTGAGGCCCTTTGCTAAGTACGTGCAGGAGAATTATAGAACGATTAAGCATGAGACGGAAGGGATAAGCCATGGGGATGTGATGAGGCGGCTGAGCAAGGATTATGCCGATAAGCAAAGGCAGGATCATTGAGGTTATCTGGGGGCGCATTTCTGTAGGCTGAGCCCCTGCCTTAACTGCTAAGAAGTTTTAGAAAAATATGTTTCTGATAAGTGGTGAATATTAGGAATATTAGGATTTAAACCATTTCTTTATAGCCTCATAGTGTTAACGATGATTGTTCTTAGGCAAGGATTCTGCTACTAAGCAATTTTGTGCCCTTGAGGTACTCATAAGCCCTTTGGATCAGATCCACTCTGGGTATTACTCTTAACATAGTTTTAACATGTAGAACACAATTCAGACACAAACTGCATTTTCAAGAGGGGCAGGTGGAGAGAAGGAGAAGGATGCTGGAGGTGATCGAGTTTTAAAGGCCACGCTCCAAGACCAGGGCTGCTGGCAGGTAGAACATGTTATACTTAAATAGACATAAAAGACAAGCATATTTCATGAATTCAGTTGCTCTTGACATTGAATAAGCCTGTGCTGAGCCAATATAATTGTTATTAAGACAAAAAAATAAATAAAATGTTTCCTGAAATTTGCTTGTTAAATGGGGTCAGTTCATTGACACCCCGTGCCTAGCGCAGAACCAACCCTCAGGTCCTTCATCCAAGACCCTGAAATCAAGGAGTGGGCAGGGCTGTGTTTCTCTCTGGACGTTCTGGGGTTTGGGGATCCATTTCCTCATCTTGTCCAATTTCTAGAGGTCACCAGCATTCTTTGGTTTGTGGCCCCCTTCCATCCTTCAAGCCAGCAACATCTGTCTCTCTCTTCTCTCTCTCTCTCTCTCTCCATCACTCTTCCCCACCCTCTCCCTCCTTCTGCTCCTTTTCTTTCACTTTTAAGGACCCTTGTGAAGCCACTGGGCCCACCTGGATAATCCAAGAGAATCTTATTTTAAGGTCAGCTTATCAGCAACCTTTTTTTTAAAAAAAAACTATTTATTTATTTGACAGACCAAGATCACAAGTAGGCAGAGAGGCAGGCAGAAAGAGAGGAGGAAGCAGGCTCTCTGCGGAGCAGACAGCCCGATGCGGGGCTCAATCCCAGGACACTGGGATCATGACCTGAGCCGAAGGCAGAGGCTTTAACCCACTGAGCCACCCACGCACCCCTATCAGCAACCTTTTTGCCATGTAAGGTAACCTATTCATGAGTCCTGGGGGTTCGAGGGTGGACATCTTGGGGGACCCACTGCTCAGCCTGCCACAAACCTCATTACTAATCTAGCATCATGGAACATCATTGATAACCTTTTATAGGGCAGGATGTCTCATTTTGTCCTTTTTCTTCCTTCCATCCTTCCTTTATTTCACAGGTGCTTTGTCTTTCCGTGGTGGCAGACTGAAGCCTAACCACAAGTCTAAGGGTTTGGGTGTGGGCCCTGGGGTTATAGGAGCTTTCCCAGCTAGATAAGTCTTCAGGTTCCTCCTCAGCAGGCCTGCCTCCAGTCGCATCTGCAGTCTTGGCAGAGGCCCAGCTGACCTGCGAAACTGGATCATGGCACATTGGTGGCTTAATGAAGGGGAACTAGCAGCACAGTGGTCCCACACCTGCCAAGGGACGGTCTTCACTCAGTAGTCCTGCCACCTACCTTTCTGGGGAGCCCCGGTCATTTCCCCTACTCGCTTCCACCTCAGCCATAGCACCCCCTCCTCATGCCTCCAGGTGGCTTATGTGCTAATGACTATTAACAAGTCATTCAGTCTCGGTCTCAGTGCTTTGCTCCCATCCTCGAGGAGCCCGCATACCCTCTCAGCTGAACAGCCGGCTCCCACCTTCTAGCAGGACTCTGGTACCATCACTTGATCCCAAACCAATTTTGAGTCTCACTGTTTTCAACCCTTTCCTTATCTGAAGCCCTAACTCTAGCCAGGTGGGAGCACTTCTGGGTCTGGTAGGCTTTGCAGTTTTCAGCCTTCCCACGCTTTGCCAGTGCCTTCCCTTCTGTCCAGAAATACTGTCTCCCATCTTTTTGCCCTTGGCAATACCACTTGTCCATTAAGGTCTGCTCATTTCTGTCTTCAGGAAGCCTTCCTAAATGGCTCCAGCCAGAGGGCTCTGAATGCCAGGGTCACAGTCCACAAGCCACTCATTTGCCTCATGGCAATAGACAGTTTGGTATTGTTATTTCTCACCACGTCGTCCCCGCTAGCCTAAGCTTCTGTAGTGCAGGGACTAGGTCTTTGTGTCTGAAGGCCCTTCCCCAAATTATGTCCACACAGCAGCTGGCTGGTCCAGGCAACTGTTGGCACACACCCATACACCTGGGTGCTTCCCTGTGAGGGGCAGGAGCGCCCAGGGGTCCCAGAGGAGGCTCAACATGGACGTTCATGCAAGCAGCGCTGGTTGGCATAGATCCGGGGTCCAGCAAGGAGAGCGGGAAACGCATCCCTGAAGCCTTGGCTGGGCTGGGGATAATGATGTGTGACAAACATGCCCTGGGCCTGCTTATCTTGTTTATTGAAGCATTGTAAGCAGAATTGTAGACATAAAAAAATAAACCAGGAGCAAATACACAGGTCTGGGGGACCACAGCTACAGATGCTGGGTTGGAGGCCTGGGCCAGGGCCCCATGGGGGCATTCTCTACCATGCTTTCCGCTACGTGCTCCCCAAACCTGGGGAAGGCCAAGGTCTAGTTACTGGATAAGAGGGGCAGTGGGGCTCTGGGCAGCCAAGGGAACAAGGGCCCTGAGACAGCCACTTTCCAAGTGGGGCGCTGCAACTAAGGAGCAGCAACGGGCATAGACCCCACAGCCAAGGGCAGGGCCGGGGTAGGGGTACCTCCCCGGGACACCCTGGGGGTGCTGGGGCTGCCGCCAGAGCATCCCCAGAGTGCACGTGGGGCAGGAGGCTACCAGGAGAGGGAGGAAGGAGCCTGGAGCACAGGGGCACTGGGGCCACGTGCTGAAAGGAGAACCCGACCTGGCCTCACAAGCCCGAGTAGGAGGCCTCTGTGGTCTCGGACCACGATGACTCGCGGCGGGAGGACGACGGCTGCCGCTGGTGTGCTCTCTGGCTGGGGCAGCCCAGGCGTGCCAGCAGCCTCCACATATGCTCACGGAACTTGATGCCCACGAAGGCGTAGAGCAGTGGGTTGAGGCAGCAGTGCATGTAGCCCAGGCCCGCGGTGACCGACTTGGCCACATCCACGTGGCTCTCCCGGCCACAGTTGCGGCCCAAGGCACCCAGGTCCATGAGGGTGTCCACCAGCACCACCAGGTGGTAGGGGGTCCAGCAGAGGGCGAAGGCCACCACAACCACGACGACCAGCCTCATGGCTCGCAGCCGCCGCTGGCCCCTGGAAACCAGCAGCACGGCCAGGATGCGCGCATAGCAGTAGGCCATGACCAGCAGGGGCAGCAGGAAGCCAGCTACCAGCTGCAGGACACGCAGGGCTGTGTGGCCCACCCGCGGGAAGTTGTACTGACAGTGGGTGGCGTTGAGGCGCTCATCACGTTGGGCCGACAGGAAGATGAAGTCGGGGATGGCAAAGAACAGACAGAGCCCCCACACGACCCCACAGGTGAGGGTCACACGGGCCGGGGGCCCCCTGCGGTAGAGCTGGGTGGCGTGCACGATGCTCAGGTAGCGGTCAAAGCTGATGCATGCCAGCAGAAGGGCCCCGGCGTAGAAGTTGATGTTGAAGAGGGCCCCGGCCACCTTGCATAGGCCGGACCCGAACACCCACTGGATGGCGGCGTCAACCGCCCAGAGGGGCAGGGTCAGCACCAGTAGAATGTCAGCCACAGCCAGGTGGAGCAGGAAGGTGTCAGTGCTACTGCGGGCCGCCCGCTGGCCCAGCAGCACAGCTGCCACAGCGCCGTTGCCTAGCAGCCCCAGCGTGAACAGGAGGCCGTACAGGGCTGGCTGGAATGCGCGGTCGAAGTTCAGGCTGAAGTCCTGCGGGCACGGCGGGGAGGCACAGCATGAGTCACTCTCATTTTCTCCATAGTCATAGGAAGAGCTGCAGTTTTCCAGGAGGAAGGCGAGCTCCGAGGCTTGGAACACTTGGCGCTCGCTCATCTGCAGACGAAGGCAGGGAGCGGATCGGGTGAAGGCCTTGCAGTCACTATGGGAGCATTTCTCTGAGGGGCTCCTCCATCAGGCAGGCCCCAGGCAAGGGGCATGCCCTGCCACTGCTCCTGCCTTTCTTCAAAGGCCTCGCCAATGGAACTCAGAACTCCATCTGCCCAGGCTTGGCCACCACCGCTGCCACCATGCCCACCCCGGGAGGCAGGGGTAACTTCTTATCCCAAAGGTTGCTTCTCTCTCACCCTTCTGGACCACCCCATCAGCCTGGGTATCGTGGGCCCGAGGGAGAGCTGTCCAAGAACCCTCCTTGACCCCTCGCCTCTCTCCTGGCTCTTCCTTCACAACTCGCCCTTCTGTTGCCCCAGCCACGCCTAGTTCTACAACCTTCCTCCCCAGGCACCTCCCCACAGTCCCCTCTCTTAGTCAAGTTCCCTCCTCAGTCCTTGCCTAGGGACCCCAACTTCCTGCCCCCCCGTGGGGCCTCTCCACAAATCATTGAAGCACCCCCCCATCACATGCTTTTGGCTCCTGATTTTCCTTTCCCAAACGTGGAGGCCACCCGCCACCCACTGGGGGTTCCCCCAACCAAACTCTAGTAGAACTATTCCTTACCCCATCGCCCTGCAAACCACCCCAGAGCCTCCAGCCTTCTCAGTGCCAGTTGAGTCCCACATGGAAGAGTAAGCTCCAAGTCAGAGCTGAAGGCAGCCTTGGAGGCCGTCAGGGGTGAGCCTCTACCTGCTGCATTTCACAGACGAGGCGCCGAAGCCAGACAAGACAGGGGACTCCCCTGTGGTCCTCCACAAGCCAGGGGCCAAGGTGGGTTCCCAGTTCCCCGGCCCAGGGCTCCATTTACCACAAACTCTGCGTGGTCTCTTTACTCACCCAACCCTCAGGTGGCCCCGGCTTCATGAGGGGGAGGTGGGGTTACCCAGCCCTGACTCTCCCCCAGTACCCTGGGCTCTCTGCTCTGAGCAGCGTAGCTGTGTCCCTCCTGGCCTGCTGGGCAGCGGCACTTACCTCAGGGACCGTCGCTGGGCTGGTACTCCGGCTGCCGGCCTGCGTGCTGCCTGCCCCTCAGCCTTGGTGCTTGTGGTCGGGACCTGTGTTACACAGAGGAAGTGAGGGTTTCGCATGATTCTCAGCAGCAACCTCTTCCATGGGGTTGTCCGTACCAGGCCTCTCCAGACCCTGGGCCACGGGAGTTCCTACTCCAGACATTCTCCGCCTGGCCAGGGAAAGCTGCTCTGCAGGAGCTGGCCTCGAGTCTGGGACCAGAGAGCCTGGGGCCTGGGAAAGGGCAGGGCCTCTGAGGGGAGGGATCGGAGGGAGAAGCAGCGTGTCTGGGAAGTGGGGGGGCGGCCCCCGCTGCCAGGGGCACAAACTGCTGCTCCTGCCTTGTGATAGTCAATGCTTGATGCTCCGAACTTGTGTTCATGGGCCGTGGGCTGGAGCGGATCGTGTGTGACTATAGACTGCGTGGCTAAAGGTCTTCAGTCTGTAAAAGAGACGAGCCTCCTTGAAAAATGAAAATATTTATGTATTTTTAAAGGTTTTATTTCTTTATTGGAAAGAGAGCAAGCGAGTGCATGCACAAGGAGGGGGGCAGGGGCAGAGGCAGAGGGAGAATCAGGTTTCCCGCTGAGCAGGGAGCCCGATGCGGGCCTTGAACCCAGGACCACGAGATCATGACCCAAACCAAAGGCAGACGCTTAATGACTGAACCACCCAGGCGCCCCTAAAAATGAAAATATTTTAAAGCAATCCATCACACTGAATCTAGTCTTCCACTATTGCTCCTCCCTGCTAATCAATGGGATGAAGAAAGGGAACTACTAATAATGAACTTGGTATGTGCTAGACAGTGTTATAGGCACTCTCTCCAACACGGCCTCATTCAAACCACACAACTCCCCTGTGAGGCGGGGGTGTTATCCCCAAGGCCAATCCAGAGCAGGGGGGATGTCCTTCGGCAGACACAGCAAATAAGGCTTGGTGCTGGGAATGAAACCATGGCTGTCTCTCTTTTTATCACTCATCCCACTGCTTTCAGTCTTTTTAAGTGGATAAGCTAGGATATATCCATGCAGTTAAAAACAAAAGGCCTGCTGGGACGCCTGGGTGGCTCAGCTGATTAAGCATCAGCCTTTGGGTCAGGTAGTGATCCCGAGGCAGTGGGATTGAGTTCCACGTTGGACTCCCTGCTTCTCCTTCTCCCCCACTCCTGCTTTATTTTCTCTCTCTCTCTCAAATAAAATCTTTTTTAAAAACAACTTGAAATGGTATGTTTTGACATGGCTGCAGCTAGAAAAATCTAATGACTGCATGGTGGAAAAGGCCAGTTATAGAACACATCACGTAGAGTCGGACACCACTTATGTAAATTCGAGAAACCACAAGCAAAAAACTATACCCTGTTGTTTGGGATGCAGCTATTTGTCCCAGAAGTTTGAAAGAGGGGCTGGAGGGACGCCTGGCTGGCTCAGTCGGTGGGACATGGGACTCTTGATCTCGGGGTTGTGAGTCCGAGCCCCACGTTGGGTGGAGAAATTCCTTCAAAAAAAAAAAAAAATCTTAACGAAAAATAAAACAAGACAGGGACTGGAGACACTACAAATTGGTGAGAGTAGTTACTTCTGGGGTTAGAGGGAGGAGGATAGGGTTAGGGAAGGGTACACGGGGCGCTCCCAATTTGGAGGAAAAGCTGTAAACATTTGTGGAGCCGATCAGGCCTTTCATGGTTGCGTGCTACACTGGTTTCTCTCGCCTTCCTGGCCCTTGGCCCTCTGCCCCCTTCTCCCCTCCCTATTGCCCTGTTCTCCTTATCTGTAGGGAAAGGCTGCCCCTACCTTGAGTCTGCTAAGCAGTTTCCTCTTTCCCTCTCTCCCACCGAGATGAAAAGGAGATGCACAGAGACAGAGAGAGACATTGAGGCAAAGCAGGTCCACTGGAGTCTAGTTTTCAGGCAGAGGGCTTCGCCAGAGCCTCTAGGCTCAGGCCTGGAATTTGCCTCAAACTACTTCTTTTTTTTTTTTTTTAAGATTTTATTTATTTATTTGACAGAGATCACAAGTAGGCAGAAAGGCAGGCAGAGAGAGAGGAGGAAGCAGGCTCCCCGCTGAGCAGAGAGCCCAATGCAGGGCTCGATCCCAGGACCCTGGGATCATGACCTGAGCCAAAGGCAGAGGTTTAACCCACTGAGCCACCCAGGCGCTCCTGCCTCAAACTTCTTGACGAGACACACGCTTGCAAGGCAGCAAGCCCCCTCTCCACCTTCTGTGGACAGAAGATGTGAGTGTCCTGGCTCTAAACAGCTTGTTGCCCACAAGGTCCGGGCCAGAGGGAGCTGAGGACCCCGGGGGATGTCGGGAGGAGGAGCACGGGTGGGCAGGACCGGTGATACCAGGGGCCTCGCAGTTAGGATGGGTCGGACTTGGCGGTTGACTGCCTGCGGGGTGATGAAGAGGGGTAGGAGCTGGGAGCCCTGTTTCCGGCTGCCGGCCCATGAGGAGCTCCCACCAACTGGGCTTTTAAGTGAGGGTAACAAAAATCTCTGTTTGACTTAAAGGAGGGTCTTATATTCTGCAATGATGTCATTCATCCCCCCTTTTGGTGTTAAAAGGATCTTTTCTGTATGAAATTGTGCAGGAAAATAGCCAATAGATTTGGAAACAGCTTGTGTTGGCTGAAGTGGGTAAATAACTCCTTGCGGGGCCTCCAAACAGAGGTTGGGAAGTCACTGGTCCGTGTACAGTGTCAAAGTCTAGGCATCCCTGGTCCCCTTCCTGTGCCCCAGTCCCCATTGGTCACATGGGGATCATGCACCCCACCTTCCCAGGCTGCCGGGATGGAGAAATGAGAGAAGGTCGGGCACGAGGTTTGAAAAGTTGCAGACAGCTTTTCTGAGTTGGGCTGTAGCCTCTGGCGTGGCTGTGATGGGGTGGGAAGAACCCCGAACTTGGCTGGGTCCGGCTCAGGCTCCGCCCACCCCTTACTTGAGGGTGTCCTTGAATAATACCATGCCTGAGGGTGACCTCAGACAAATGCCATACCCATTTTGCACCTGTCCCTTTGGCAGGGTTGTTAAGGAGATGAACTGAGCTCACGGAGACTTCGAGGCCCCTGCCAGGGCCCAGCACATGGTAGGAGCGCAGCAGAGAACATTGAGCAAGGGAGGTTGGCTACACATGGGAGTGACCAGGAGCCTTTCGGGTCAAGGGGAACCCTGGGGTAGGGTGTGCTGCCTTGTGGGCCATGCGCTGGGGCAGCCTCCAGAAAGGTGGGCCCTTGCCTAATCCTCTGGCATTTTACTTCCTTGCCTCAGGTTCCTTGTCTGAAAGGTAGGGGTAAGCCCAGGATGCGCGTGAGAGTCGGGGCTGCTGTGGAGACGCCGATGACACCTACAGGTGCGTGGCCCAGGAGGTGCCTGGTGAGCGGCCGGCTCCTCCTCATTCTGGTCACTTTCCACGGCGGCCCTTGGCTTTGGTCCTCTCCTGTCCCAAGCTGCCCACAGAGCAAGTTGGGGGCGGGCCCAGCCCTCACGCGGCAGGAGGGGGAGAACCCACCACACCAGGGGCCAGCACCCAGAGTTCTGCTAGATGTGCCTCTCCTGCCTCTGCCCTCCCGAGCAGCCAGGGGGGAAGCTTGAAGAGGAAGTTAGTCAGAGCGAAGCTGCTCCGGGCCCCACCTGTGGTCAAGGTGTGAAATGTGCACCTGTCTCTTCTCTGCCACCCATCCCCCTGTTTTTTTTTTCTTTTTTTCACACCTCTGGGCTGTGGTTTGGGGAGATGGGAGGCTCAGAGGTCTGAGCCCTGGGCCCAGGCTCTCACAGGAAGGAGGGCCTCTACAGTTCTCTGTTGGGCCGATCAGGGAAGGGGGCCATTTCCTTCTCCTTCCCCTCAGTGTCTGCTGCCTCTCAAGACCTCCCTCGTGGAGCCTTGCCATGCCCCTTGGGGCCCTGCTCCAAAAGCGCCTGGCTGCTGGGGCCTGAGCTTCTTGTGGGACTCAGGTGGCGGCCTCAGCTGTGGTTGGACTCTTCTTACACATGGTTAAGAAGGGTCCTAGCTAGCCCCAGGAAGGGCTGTGAGTTCGCCCCATTTGGGGCTGGGACTTGGGGATTCCTTTTGCTGGTCCTTCTCCTCAGAGAAGTACAGCTTAAGCCACAAGGAGGCCCTGAGACTGGGGACCACCCCCGTCTCTGTTTCCTGTCTGAGCCCTCTTCGGACGCAAGAACGTTCTGCATGCTGGGGCCGTGGGCCGGGGTGTATGCAGTCGAGGCCCATGAGGATGATTTCCTAAGCTTCGGGGGCCCTCATCATTTTTGGGACCAAGGCTGGAGGGTGTTGTTGCCATTTGTCAAGATGATTCAGGTGGTGAGAACAGCAGGTGCCAAGGCAAGAAAGTCAAGAAGAGACGGTCAGCCCAGGGATGGTCAGTCTGGCCAGAAAGGCAGGCATGTGTATAAGCAGGAAGGTAGAGGGGGCTGGACAACAGCTCAAGACCCAGGCACAACGACCTTCTCATCATCCCGTCCCCAGCTGTGCCTGGAAACTGAAACGTGGAAATAGCTCCCATTCAGCAAACCCATACTTTCATACACGTGATCTCTTATTTTTATTTTTTAGAACCGGGGGAGAGGGACAGAGGGAGAGGGAGAGAGAGAATCTTAAAAGTCCGACACGGGGCTCGACCTCATGACCCTGAGATCGTGGCCTGAGCCAAAACAAAGAGTCGGACTATCAACTGAGCCACCCAGGCAACCCCACATGATCTCCTCTGAGGGATGGAGGTGGTGACTCAGAGAGGTCAAGTGACTTGTCCCAGGCTAGTTGGCCAGTAGGCCTTGTGACAAGATTCCTATTCACGCTGCTTTCTAATGGGCTATTCTGACTGCTGAGGCTGGAGACCCCTGCCTGCACCCCACCCCGTAAAGCACGCTGCTGCCTAAGGACTGGTTCTTCTAAGAGCCACGCCTTCCTCACCCTATGGTCCCAACCAGGCATCTTGTGTCCTAGAGTGAGCTTTGCCAAAGCTCATCACAGCCCCATTCTTCTCGCCCTGTTCCTTCCCACCTACAGGGAGAAGAAAC